ATAAACGAGTAGTGCAAGATAGGAAATGGGGAAAATTCAAAGGATAATGCAAGTTTTCTAAAACTTGTTTTCTGTTTTCTAAAGATCTCAAAAACAGACAGATTTAAAGACAAGTTTATAATATTTTTTTTGCAAATTTAGAAAACACATTATTTGCGAGGCACAAATCAGTGTTTATTTTGCACCAACTAAAAATACTATTTTTTGATGCAAAAGCGCCGCCTATTTTCCGAGCTTTGAGGTCAAATTCTGAGGCTGGGCCATAATTATTGTCTCAGAATAGTAATAGTGAAAAGATGAGAAAAGTTTTCAAAATAGAAAAGAAAAGAAAAGAAAAGAGAATTCATTTCCGTTAGGAGGAAATAGATTTTTTTTTGCATTTTCCCTTTTCCTGTCTGAAAAGGCGAAAAAAGAGGCTGAGCTTGCAATTAAATTAGTCCTCGAACCATCCAAAAAAAACCTCTTTAACACACAAATCAACGCCCTCTTAACATGAAGATGGTCTGGTAGCGCAAAAAAAAATGATCTAACAATAAGTTTTCGAACATCACGCAAGGTAAACTCAAGGAAAAAGATCTGGTTTGAGATTCAAGAGAGTCATTTCTGGGAAACTACGATTTGGCTGAGCTTTCTTGGAAAAGTTCTTTTCTAGACAGCCAATTGACCCAGCTTCAAATACATTCGCCCCCTTTCTAATAGATTTTAATTGAAGACTTCTTTCTCATTACCAGTTAACGTGCACTCCTTAAATTAGCTCTAAGTAAACTGATAACAATGAACCGACGTCCAGTAGTTAATAGTATGCTAATTTCCCAGCAAGCCGACACTGGGGGCCTCTTGGTCCGGCTTCGGCTTCGGCTTCAAGCCTGGCGCACACTGAACTGAAATCAGACCGAGCCGAACCAAAATGCACCGAACCAAAATGTTACGAGATTGGTTTTTGATGCATTCTTCGTCGTACTTTGTGCTCAAACTGGTAAACACGCCCTTCCTGCACCTGATTCTTCACTTTTCTAGTTTACATTCAAATGGAAAATCGGAAAATATTGCATTTGAAAACGATAAAGGGAGGCGAACGAACTGTTGAGGCAAAATAATAAAAAGATTTGCACATCAAAATTAGCATACGATTACGTTTACGGTAGGTATCAAAAATTGCATACAAATTCTTTTGATGGATATAAAACGCGCACTTATTATTTTCCGTTTTAATTATTTCTCCTTCTTCTTACACTTTCGTGGGTGGTGCCTTCGGATGAGTAAAGAAACGACTCAAATCGCACCTCAATCTGATCTCGGGCCAATAAAGAAGGTTGTTTTTGGATATTAACCACAAGCAATTTGAAGGATATCTAAGAAATTAACAGCGAATCTTGGTCTTTCAATGTTTAGTGCACTTTTATTATGCGTTTCTTGAAACTCTCTTTACATTCTTTTATTTTCAGCAACGACTGTCGTGTCTTATAAAAAGGGAGCCCTGGTACTGATCCTGACTTAGCCATTCCTGATTGACCAAAATGCGGATAGGAGTTACAGCAGCATTTATTCAGAGGTAATATTTGGCTTCTTTGCGAGCATAATTTCAAAAGTTTAGGACTTTAGGAAACGGATGGAAAAGCTCGAGGAGATGCCTTGCTTCATCTACGAACTGTAATGAAATGCTGGCGCAAACAACCGATTGATCGTCTTAATTCTTTGCGGAGTTCTTCTTGGTAATGACTTTCATTTTTAAAAACTCATTTAGCGAAATTGCCGACTGTTGGAGCCAGTTTTACATCGAGAGCGAATTCGTCCATGTTGAAGCTCTTCTTGAACGAAACGAGGAACGAAAAGGAAAACTCGCGGGGGAAAGTTCACGAATGAGGCGTTAAAAAGTCGTTATTTTCTTTAAAGAATTGGTCTATTCCGTGACTCCGTATAGAGATTTTCAATAAAGTGTACAAATAGTGCGGGCTTTATTCATCAACCAAAAAAGACTTTTGTGTTTTCGTGGAGGATTTTTCTTTCGATTTGCGACCGCAGAAGAAATCCGCTTTTGAGGACCAAGTTTTGCTCTTTTCTTTGAGCTTTCTAAAAAATTAGGAGTTACTTTAACGGGGAAAGGGACTAACTTTTCGGGGGTGTAAGGGTCGCGTTGTAGACACTGAGATCCAATCCTGTGGCCCAACTGGGAAGTCATTTCAATGTCTAGGAAAGAGCAAAAAGAGCGAGATACGTATTAATAAAAGGCCCAACCTCTAGAAGTCGGGGAAATAAAAGCAACGAGTCAGCTACTGAGAGGCGAGAGTTAGAATGAGTTTTGATCTCCTCCATTTTTAGTCATTTCTTCTTATGGAAATTGTTAAATGTTAATTGAATTATTGAAGCTTTTATGCCCTAATCGAGGCATATTTCACAAGATAAACTAGTGGGGGATGATCGGGAATGGAGAGGGGAAGAGGGGAGGATCGATTGACCGTGGAAGTGATGACCTGAATCTTCTGTGAGATCCCTTCCCTTCCCCTCCCCTTTCTCCCCTTTTCTTTTTCATATCCCAGCTTTCACCTCTCTTCATAGCAAAAACGTTTTCCCTCCTATTTATATTGATGTCTATAATTAACCTTGTTCATCGATAATCAGCTGCACTCTTTTTGCTAGTAGAGATCACAGCTTTTTACCAAATTATGTTCGACTTACTCATGCTGATTCTCCTTTTAAAGCATTAGAGACACTGTAAATTTTATTCATCTCTTATCTGTCTACAGTACGCATAAAGTATTTAAAGACAAGAATCAATAACCAATTTTTTATTGAGCATAAGTCTTCTAGTTTGGTGAAAATGCTTTCACTTTACTGTGGTGAAGAGTGTGTAGTGACTTCACACATACCTTTATAGCGACCAAATTTTTTTATCATTCAAATACCAATGGCTTCGGCTTGATAAAACTATCGATAAAAATGCTTTAAAATGATCTGGCTATCTTGGGAAATGACAAGTTGCAAAGATTCGATTGTGCTCATTTCAACTAATTCTACCCCTCCCTCCCACAGACCGGTCTACTATTGTCCCTCAATTTGTCTTCCAATTAATTGCTTGTCACATTTGGTTCACATAAAAATGTATGTTTGTAAATGTAGAGCGAGTTCACTCAAGTCATATCAAAATCACTGTATCGTTCTTCGGCCATTTCTTTCTTTCCCAACAACAACAGTTTCGAATAAAAGGGAAATAGGGGAAACTTGTTCTCCATTACATTTTCTTTCATTCATGTGTTTTCCCTTTTTTCTGCCATTCAAGATCGTCATTGCATTGATGCCATAATTTTAGAATCATTTAGCGTTTCCCTGTGGTAAAAGAACAATCATTGTGCTTGAATGTGCTTGAAAATTGTTGAGAAATGCTTGAGACTTGCAGAATGGAAAATGCTAACTTTCAAAAAGTTAGTCTAATCTGCATTATTGGTGATTTTTATGATAACGAAAAAATGAAATTCGCTCTCAAAATTTTCGAAATTCAGTAAAATACGGGATTTCTTGGGGGGGAAGATCGGGTAAAGAGGGGCCTGTGTAGTAGTTTTGGGCCTTTTTGTATAGCTTCAATGAAGCTAGGCTGGAAAATGGCTCAAAAATCTGTTAGCTCATGGTTTTTTTGAGCCATTTTCGAGCCCTATAGCACTTCATTGAAAGCTTTTATGCAGAAAAGAAATTTTAAAAAGGGCTGCTACAGCAGGAGTAATACGTGATGATACTCTTTACCCTGGTCTTCATTCGAAGAAATACGGTAATTAAGGTAAATCCATAAAAGTGTTAATACTTTTCCAAGTTGTTTTTTCCGCTTAACCAATTAATTTTCAAAAAATATGCCAACTTTCGAAAACTATCGAAGCTTGTCTCCTGTTTTATTCATCTCAAGATTACGGAAGTTTAAGAGTTGACATCGTTAAATTGAAAGGAACACACTCTAAGTTTAATGGTTGTAAAGATTCCGAAAGAATATCTTTACGTGAACTCTGGTTAATTGCCAAATCAAATGAAGTGTTTCTCTTGAAAGGCATTTTGAAATAAGCCCGTTTTTCATTTCAACCTTTTCTTTTACCTTCTCTTAACAATAACAAGTCTCGTCTGGTTTCTGTGCCACTCTATTTCCTTTTTTGTCTCTTCTTCCCAAAACAAGTCCGGTTTTATTTGTCCTTTAGGGAATTCCCTTTCATTTCTATTCTCACTCTCTCTAGTAAATCTTGTTTTTCCTATTTAGTTTTGTTAAATCTACGAGACTTAAGCTTAAATTTAGATGAGAGAACTGTGGAGATTCACTTGGATTTTCATCGTTTTTCACGCCACCTTGGAGTCTCGGGAAGCTCAAAATTACGAAAAGGACTATTCTCCGTTGCTTGATGGAAGGTCAAATGATGAGAAAAGGATCACGAAATTTTTTCTTTTAAGATATTTCTGTATTAAAGAATTAACTCAAAATGTTTTCAAAACGTGTCAATCTTTCGGAAAATGACCGTAGCTCTTACCTTTGCTTAGAAAACGCATTTTTAACAAAACCGGAACTGAATACTTGGGGGTGGGACAAATGCTACCTTTTTTTCGGGAAAAGGCTCGGAAAGGTCGTAGAGCTTCAAAAATAGCCATAGAATAGAAAGGGGAAGGTAGATTCCGAATTTCGATAAAACAGAGCCTTGCTGACACAAACAAAATTGAGCCAAGGTCGCAAAAACTACGCAACTTAACGCTTTTCCGCAGTTTTTGTCTTTAGCCCAAATTTTACGTGTCAGCGAGGTCTGATTTTGTCGAAATTCGGAATCTACGCATATGATTCCCTTTATATAAAATGTTTTTGAAGCTCACTGCCTTTTCCAGCAAAAAAAGGTAGGATTTGTCCCACCCCCGAATACTTAGGAAAAAACGTATTTAGATAACTGATTATCTTTTTGAATGATTGGAATATGCAATTAAACTATTTTAAACCTTTCTTATGATCATTTCAGCAAAATGCTTCTCCAAACAACCCAGGAATGGTGCTTCGTTTGATGCCCACTGGATTGGCCTTATTTGAGGGAATGGTATAAAGGTTTAAAGAGACACTTTAAAAACAATCAAAAATGAGCTAACAGGTGGTGAACGAGCAAATCCTCAAACTTCCACTACTGACAATCCGGGATGAGCATCGAAAATGGAGAAGTGAGTCCAACTGGTTTCCCCTAAATCAACCCTTTCAGGTCTCAATTTACAGTGCCCACATCTGGAATATTAGCTCCCCAAGAATATTCCCTCGGATTTGTCGATCTGAACATTTTCACGTGGAGCATGTCGAAAATGCATATCAGGTATCGAATTTAAAAAAACAAGAGAGAAAAAAATCGAATTCTAGAGCAGCGGGGGGAATTCGAAGCGCGACTGAACAGTCCGTTGTTGATTCCATCAGTGCCGATTACTGGTCATTTCGAGGTAAAATTCCTGACATGTCGCACTCACTGTTCCGTTCGATTCACTTTCAGGTACCAGGCAAAACACGGTAAAACCGGTTTGTACTTTGTGCTTTGGACAAATGCACACTGTCTAGCGTACACGATTTGATTTGATTCGTAAGATATCATTTGATCTACGAATCTACAGAGGTCCCAAAAGGCTGGTACTTTTCCTGTAAGCAGTCATTTTTCAAGAAAAACTAACGCCAGATTCTAAAAATTCAGGTATTTTTTTACCCCAATATGCCCAAGATTTCAACTCAACAACTTTTTGACTAGATTTTTTACATCCAGATCTAGTCGCTGAAGCTTTTATGGGAAAGTTCAGTTAAACTTCGTAGAATGAAATTTTTCCAAAAACTGTTGTTATCATTTGATATTCCAAGTTTTTTCTAGAAAAATAAAAAACAAACGAACTTTTAGATCTCAAACAACGAAAGATTTTCAAGCAATTCTACTGAGGGCACTAAAATCTTAAAAGCAAAAAAGCGCTATGATCACCTTTGAAAATCCTCATCAAAAAGTTATTTATTTAGAGTTACAACTTTTGTGCAAAAAAAAAGATAGTATGGGTAAAAATACTTGGTTTTCATAACTGATATGCTATTTTTCAAAAGTAGCGTGTTTTCCGCGTTAAACCGTCCGTTTACAAACGTATAGGAAGTTTTGAGGCAATCGTATATCATTCAGAACGTCGTGGGGAGCCCTCATAGTCGCGGCTCAATGCCGTGTTTTTATCGGACACGCGGATCTTCCAGAACAGCCTGAGAATACCGGAATTCTCACCGATTCTTCAACGGGCAGATAAAAGTGAAGGCAAAAGTCGACGGCCAAACTGTCCCGATATCAGGCAGTTTTGATTAGCACCGCAGTTCGGGGGGATGCGTTCAAAGACACCGAACAAATGAATGATCTGGTGTTATCATTGACCGCTGATGCTAATGCACCGCTTCAGATGTCGACGGTGCCGGAGAAATCGGCGTTCATTCATTAATTTGAGCTCAGATAGCGATGTTCACGAGGAGAACGGGCGTGGTGAGGGAGACTTTCTGTCTTCGACCGCCGAGGAGTAAACTGGGACAAGCTGGTATTAGAAATTTGCTGACAATTCTATGAAAAAGTTCATTTTAGGCTTCAAGAACATGACCCTTCTCAACTTTGTGCAAAATCTTCGCGATCGAGATATGGTTTTGGATTACAAGTTTGTCACTTTACTAGTAACTAGTACTAGTTGCCAGGTTCTTAGTGTACGGGAAAATATTTACATTTTTAGGCTCAATTTCGGATCGTCGTGAACGATGGAGCGATAGCGATGCTCGCAGCGGGAGTAAAATCTCATAGTAAATATCGTTAGTCTAGGAATTAAATCAAGGTAGAGTTGTATTTCCATATCATTGACATTCTAAACTCAATCCATAATCCTAAGAGATGGATAATCATATCCAAGGAGTCAGTGTCACCCAGTATTCAGGTGTTATTCATGTTTTCAGAAAAGGTACAGGTGGCACCCCGTTTCCTCCATCAATCCGTGTGTACCCGCTTCCTCGTCGGTTCACAATGCATGGTCGAGTTCGTGGCCACTGATTATATTGCAAACTCATTGCTGTATCAGCGCTTACAAAGCAAAAGTTAAGTGGATATCGTCGTTGGTAAGGAGGGATGCGCTGTTTATCGGAAACATTTTCAGGCCCCGAATCAAGTCCATCCTAGAAAGACCTCCTGCAAACACGTGGGATGGTGGAATTTGTATAGGAGAGTTTCTGGTGGCCTTGGTGAACACTTCCCACATCGACAAGTCGAGATCTTTTACGCTAGGAAAGGCATGTCAAATTGCAAAGATGGGAAATACTTATCGTAACCCTGTAATGGAAATAGTTTTATCAAAACTGGTTTTCTATTTTGCACTAGTTTCATTGCCGGGGAAATCAAAGGGTAAGGGTTAATACTCCCCATTACTGAAGGGTATTACGGTAGGTAAATGAAGTTCAAATCCGTCGTGGGGGCTAACCAAACGATATCAATCCAGGCTCCACTTATCTTGTCGAAAAGCGTGCTCGCTCTCCGTCTTCTACGTGGAGCGATCAACATGTATGCGGACCCTCGAATGCCACTCAACAGAAACAATAAGCAGTCTCACAAAAGCAAATCATTCAATCAATGCATTTCCCTTTTCAGGTTCTCTGAGCTGACACAACAATGACATCGAATGTCTACCTTTGGATCATCACGGGTAAAGTAATCGGGAATGCTACCATCGACAATCCTGATTTTAAACTCATTGAATCAAAGGTGGGCGCTTCGTAAAGCAAAAACGAGAAGAGTTTAAAATCTTTTTCTGATACAAGATCGATCAAGCGCGTTTTTTGCCGATTTGGGATTCCTTTGGAGCTGAATTTTCAGATAATTGTCACTGAAATTCCCTGCAGATTGGCATAAAATTGCCTACCGGGAACGGGATTTATCAAAAGTCCTCGGTTTGCATTGAAGCCTCTTATGCACACAAATCCAAATTTTTAGCCTTTCTTTCATGAACGATACTTAAAAGTGGAGACTTGTTTCAACTGGGACGAGAATTATGCCGGGCAAGTGGTTCATGGGGTTCAGTGTCAAACATTGTAAAATGCCGGATAATCAATTTATCATGCCCACTTCTGCACCTTTTCGATAACTGGGATAATCGGATATTTAATAAAATATTGTCGTTCTGAAATAATACTGGTGCATAAATCTTAAAAATTGTTCAGAGAAGCATCCAATCAAAAATTTTAACTCGTTTAATATTTTAACCAATACTTTATTTAACTAAGGCTCATAATGATATTACGTTTTCAACCAAACACTACGTATCTAAACAAAATACTTCCAAATAACATAAAGTGTCACAGTGATATCCAAAGAAAAACAAGGCGGAAGAATAGCCGGTTTTAACGATTTGAGGGTCCTGGTTGATCCGGAACTGCTTTTCATCATTCATAGCTGTCGTCATACTGTCGTCGCTCTAGTGGCTTGAACGGTATCGAGCATTGTTTGTGCGTGATAATGATGTTTTGCAGCAAAGTGACGATCTGCTGCTTCGGCCGTTCGACTAACGTCAATTAACCAAATCCCTTTCTTGGAATTGAGTATCGCCGGCGGGCTTATGCCCGGAACCTTACTTCATGACGATCGACGACGTCGCGGTGGTGGGGCATCAGCTGATTGTTCATCAGAAAAAGGTGTGCGAGCTAAGCAATGTGTCGCTAAAAAGGGCTTTTATAAACTCATCTACTTAAAACTGACAGCTTGATTTGTAATAAATCCAATGCGCCTTCCGGTGCGAGCTTGTTGTTCTCCAACTTCTGCTCACCAAACGGTCTATTTCTTTGTGGATTTCTGGGAATCTAGAATGCAAAAATAATAAAATGAAACAAAAACTCAAACCGTAAATGCTTACAAAGTTCTGCTACTGGAGGACGTTCAATGACTCCATGTGCCCGCCGGGGTTTTCTATACCTGAACTTCTGGATAAGGGGTAGGTGGAAGTATGAAACAGATCTCCTAGTGGAGATTGAACCTAAAAAATTTAATAAGCATTTTCGTATTCGTTTATACAGAAATATACGTTTCTCTTTTAGCTATCGCTTATATTAATAAAACTTAGATTCCAAAGACAAAAAAATATACCCCTTCAGTAACTGTCTATAAGAGCGATCACGTGCGTTTTCAAGAACGATAATCTCCCACAAATTATTAAAATTTTAAAATACTAAACAAAACTACCTCGTCATTATCGATTGGCCTCCTTTACTCTCACGTTTAACGATTTCAACGGACCGAGGTGAAGCGCCATTCTGATCCGATCGTTAAAATCCTTGCTCGAATTCTCCAAGCTGATCGATAAATCCTTCCTTTATTTCGCTTAGCGTTTTTTCCAGCTAAATTAAAAATTTTCAAAGTCCAGAAAAAACACACACACCTCGTTTGGAAGCTTTCTGGAGATCTCTGTTGAACCTCTTACATACGCATCTGCAAGTTTCTCCGAAGTGCGATCCTAAATCGCGGCTGGATACAACAAACGAACAACCAAAAAAAAAAAAAAAAAAAAAAAAAAAAACCTATTGATTTGACGTAGACTCGAGCTGAATCTCTCCGAAGTTCGCTGTGCTTGTCTAATCCCTTTTATTTTAAATAGAGAGTAATCATAAGGAAATTATTACTTGTTTCATCTCTGTTCCACAATCGTTCAAACGATCGACAAGTTTCCAATGTTGATAGCCGTTGAGCCGCAACAGCAGCAACTTGATTCACTTTTCAAGACGATCCCTAAAACTCTAGCAGCGAATATGTTATAGGGCATAAACCTACAAAAATCCTGTTGGTTAAAGCCTTGCGCTCAATTACTTCTCGCCGTGCTTGATATGCAGACGAACAATCAGAGTGAGCAAATTCTGAGCCTAGAGTCTTGAGATTTATGAAAACTTTTCTAACAGTACTGCCAGGACAAGCGCCACAGGACAAAATAAACTCCTTTCTCGACTTCTTTGTCAAGATCGGAGCAAGCCATGCTGGAAGACCGACTGAGACAACGATACCTCCAGATCCTTTTCCCCTTTCATGCGTCAATAATCTCTTAAACAATAAAAGAAATTAACTCCCCTAAGAAAGAAATCACCTCTCAAACGATAGCGTTCTAGCAGGTAATCCATTGACCGGAACTTCAGTCACTGATCTGCATTCGGGGCAGCGAAACCCTTGTGACACGTTGTCGAAGATAGCTCGAACTCGGTCGCATGTGGATAACCCTAAAACAAGCATTTGCACATAAAAAAGGCAAAATATCTTACCAGGTGGTGTTCAACCATGCAGAGAAATGGTCGCTGATGATCATGGGATGGGGCGGCATCTTTGATTTGCCAGCCACTTGGAACCGTCAATTTTAGGAAAAAAGAAGAAAAAAAAAAAACCTACCATATCAGGTCGAAATTGCTGGTGCATGGCTTGGGCTGCTGCCCCATCTGCGGGGGTCGAAATTGCTGGTGCATGACTTGGGGCTGCGTGCATGACTTGGGGCTGCTGCTGTAAGAAAAATCCACCACCTACTCCTCCGAGCCCTCCCAAACAAATGTTCACAAGTTTAGTAAAGGATCTCAACCATACCGCTCCCATTGGCGTCGTGTTGATCCAAACCTCTGGGAAGGCTACGAAGCTTAAATGCAAAGTTTTTTCAAAAGAACTTAGACCAAAAAACTTCAAAAAATACGCGGCGCCTCGGTTCCTGATTTTGCTGAGTAAGTGCCCAGCACGAGCACGTACCCCAAGCAGCAACATCAGCGGCGGCAGCTGAAGTTCGTCGGCGATTCCACGAGCATCGTCTTTCCACATCGGCTTGGCTGCTCGGAGTTTACCTAAAGTTTTGAATTAATATCTTCCAATAGAATCTAAAGAAAAAAATGCCAGAAAGAGCTCAACCCACCATTCGATCGACACAGCTTGCGCATACAGTATGCCTACAAGAAAGGCGAAGGGGTCGATCGAATTCCTGATAGCACACAGGACAGTCCGGCGACATCCATCGCGTCCAAACCAATACTTCGCAATCGAATCGATGTAAGATGCAATAGTTTGAAAGCACATTGAAAAAGTTATAGTGAAAGAGTTATGCAATGAAACGTACGACAAGACAAGGCGCGGGAAGGGAATCATAGCTGAGAGGGGTGTGGGGAGACAGAGGCACGCAACGAAAACACAAACAGCCAAAAGCGAGAGGGAATGGGTGTCGCTAGTTGCTGCAGTTAGCAAAGTCTCTTTTCGATGTTAGAATAGCGTTTTTCACCAGAGAGAACAAATGAAATGAAAATTGATCTTTTTAAATAATACTTTTCCAAACCCAGATAGGATATAACAGCTTGAAGAATTAAATATCTGCTTGCTGTATCTGAAAATAAACATAAAATCTTGTTAAAGCGGGATTTTGCATTTTTAGTGAGATAAATCCGCATTGTTCATTTTTAATTTTATTTCAGGCTGTTCCGTGCTCATTCTATTTTTGTGTGCGTATAAACAAAATTTAACTTTTATCGAATTTTATATTCCGGGGCTATCGCCATCCTGTTTAGTGCAACATGGTGAGACGATTTTTTCAAGTTGCCGGAAAAGGTAAGGCGATTTCAATGATTTGGTTCAGGACCACTTTGCTTAATTTTTCTTGCTGAAAAAGCGTACATTCATGCAAATCAGTTCACTCTATGCCATAGTAAACTGTTCAGGTAGCTGCCTCCGAGGCTGCGTGCTTCGTAACAAATACCTGACGAAATCGGCCATCCAGCAACGTCTAGCGGAATTCGATGCTTCCCAACCTTGAATGGTAAATCGGAGTCGATATTTGAACGGGATTTCGTCGGGTCTCTCGCTGGGTCCCGCTTTACAAACCGAAGCCGGGAGACATCATTACGTTTACGTAGGTTGCCGTTTTCAACAGCGAGTAACGTATCCTTAGATTCCAGGCGAACGGGGATCAGGTTCATATCGTAAAAGGTGTACTGCGATAGAAGGAGGAGTTGTAAAGTAAAAATGTTTTTTTGACTCGTTACACGGTTTGTTTTAGGCCCAAGCGCCGAGACGAGCTGACGATTATCCCTAACAGGAACATACCTCGATGGAAAGTGATAATCCGCAAAATGCTCTTTGATAGTCATAGTTAATGACCCCGTGAGTATTTATGTCGATTTTACCGGTAATTGGTGTCAATGGGTTTTATCCGTGAAGCTTTTACTTGTACACATACTTAATTTAGGGTGAATCGAGGGCTAAGTGCATGCACGCGCGACAATATGTGATTTGGCCTCCACAAAGATGGCGACAAAAAGAAAATATAAATAGCGATGTAAATATGTATGTACTTAGTAAGTTAATAAAATAAATTCCATAAAACTTCTCGTCAAAACAACAAAACACGGATGACATGGGTAAATCTTGAAAACTGGGAAAACCCATTTTAATTCAACTCCAAAATTTCCATTTCTTTGTTGATCCATCCTCCCTTTCGGGTAACGATCCCACTTCGTCGTACCTACAATTTAAATTATGCTAAAACTTTCATAGCCACATGAAAACCAATTGAGGAAGCACGAATCTCGTTAGTCCACGTGGTTTGGGTTTCAATTGAACGCCAATCTTCTCCCAGAATTGGCAGATCCATTTGTTGTTCCACATGTCGCATCTGAAATCGATTTTCTAGATTACTTCTTTGGGAAAACCTGAAGCAAGTAATTTCAGCGAGACTGGAATCGATTTGTGTTCCAAAAATCATTTGTGAGGGTGGTACGGAGGAGGATGCAGTTTGGACAAAAAGACATTTTGTCTACATAACGTTCTAGAAATATATTAGATTTACATTTGGCTTTTTGGCTATACCGCTTCCCATAATGGAAGTGCTGGGCCTATGGTAGGATCACAAGTCGAACATCGATGTTGACTGCGTTTCCTGTGTGAGACAGGTTATATCAGTTTGTGTACTGATTAGATTTGTAATAGCGAGATCACTAAATTGTTTTTTAATGAGTCGCTGATCACCAAATACTCTGGCCATCGAATTATTGGGCACTGTTTTCCACGTGAACCTTACAATTACCCACTGCGTCTCGATTAGCAGAGAAAATCTGAAAAGTCATCTTATAAAGAAATTTTACGGTGCTTTCGGGTTCAACCCTTCATCTGGCATTGGTCCGGTGAAGTTCAAGGTTTGTCCATTATTCAGCACCTTGACACTAAATTCCTCTTTGGTGCGAATCATTTCTAAAGCCGTCTGTTTTCAAAAAAATATTTCACACTGAACCTTTCCAAGATTGCTTTCCCCTGTTCCTTTTACATTTCTTCTTCTCTAGATGAAAAGCTAAATCCGAGCAAGAGAAAAATGCTTGGAACATTGATGGCAAGTTAAACTGAAATTATAAATTGGATCACCATCGAGATCTACTGTAACCTTTTGGGTACATGGCATTTCTGAAAATGCTGCTTAAAAAGCTTCATTGATAAGAACTTCTGAACTTGCGATACATTTCTGATCACAAACAGTGAAATCGTTTGGTTTTGATAGGAGCTCTAAAAAGACTGGTAAAGAAGTAGTCCTTGAGGAAGGGCTTCTGTACCAATGGGAATTTGAATTGATGGGATTGAGAATTCTCGGACTGAGAAAGAGTCTCTATAATATTGGTACTTGAATCTCGGTAAGTCGCAATGCTCTTCCATGTGAAACACTAAATTTTAAAATGTTTTTGGATAAAATTTGTTTTCTCAAACATTGTACCACACTCGTCACATGGATAAGGGCCTACGGCAATACTTCCTTCCTGTGTAGGGAAAAGATCCTCAACTTCCATAAAATCTAATTCATTTTTGTAAGAAAAAACATCAACTTTCCTACTTTCAAAATTAGCTTTGTTTTACGGTTGGAACAAAATTAAATCAAAAAAGTAACTGCTGTTCGAAGTGTTAGTAGCTCAAGGGAGAAGTAAATGCCAAAAATGATAAAGATAGTAATCGAAAAACGATATTATAGGCAAGGCACCGTGTGGTAAATGACAATCTCCAGAAGTAACGGGTTAGTGACTAAAAAGTACATGGCAAGTGTAGCGTAACCTAATTCAAACAATCACATGAAACATGAAGCAAATAATTAAATATTAAACTTTGTCAATAGCAAAACACAATATGTGGCAAGAAAATAATTTTTGTCGATAATGCAAAGAGGGATCGTCGCCAGATACCTAAAAGAAACGTTAAAAACGTACTAACACAAAAAAATTTACTCTGTTGATAGTGACTGATCGAATTGAGATCACGGAAGAGCTTATTGGCGGAGACTTCGTGACGAAGGGTAATCTTAAATCGTTGTTTTACCTTTTTAAATCAAAAGCTAAAAATTTCATATTCAGCTTTCCCCGGAGTTGTGCCAAGCTCAATTGGTAATAAACAATTGCAAGTTTGGTAGAACACAGAAAAGGCCGTAGGTACAACCATCCGTATCTTTCACATTTTTGTACTTCAAAGCAAAGCCTCGTTGGGGACCTATTCTTAAATTTAATAAATAATGTTAACCTTCAAAAAAATATCACCTCCGTGCATAAATCAACGATTTCAGACGTAATGGCGAACAGAGAGCCCGTTCAGGTGCGTGGTTTGGGCATTGATTGCGTCGACTACAGAATGTGCCATCCCTTCAACCAAAGTTTTCTAAATCATTTAAAAGGTGCATCAAATTGTGAAAAGTCACCTCTTCAGGTTTCTGAGTGGCGTCTTCCCAATTCAAACAGGTAGCACCAATGTGTGTCGATCTAGCTCTAGAACAACCGCCCTCTATCACAAACAGTTGAATTTCGACTAACTTGTTCACAGGTCCTTGATAACGGCAATGGTCGAAAGAGTGAAAGCGATCTTTTCGAAGCATCTTGAGTGGTTTGTAGATCTTTTCATTGGGTAGGTGCAAAATGTCCATCAACGTCGCGTGAATATCGAAAGGAGTCGATAAAATGTCCTGTAAACAACCACAGCTAGTGAAAGACTCGGGTAAGATTCAATTTTAACGTTATTTAAAGAGACCATAGATGAAAAAATGTTGCCAACCTTTATTTCGAATGAGGCTTCCTAAGCAGTCCTCAACCTTCCTTCACGAACACTTTGGGGGACAGCAAACGCAAAAAAGGGCAAACGCTAACAATGAAAACGATAAAGTTAATTTTATAAACGATGACAAAACTTCCTCCAATTGACCTTGATGTGTACCACGAAGTTTGGCATATCTAAAGTAATTCATGAACGATGGTGACTCAATTATTTTCAATAAACATTTCAAAGAACTAAATAGTAAGGAAAATAAAATACCGTGCACCGTGATTCGCCCTGCCTAGGCGACCAACGCACGACATCAAAGAGGACCGCTCTGCATACCTCTCAGGAGCGCTTCCTATTTCATCATCCTAAGGACCAAGCTAAAAACTGGCTTTCAAAAAAAATTTGCAATTTGAACCTACAAAAACCAACCGCATTGACATCGTCATGGGAAAACATTGGAAGGTATCATTAAAAACCGAGGTAAAATCCTTGTATGCTTTCATGAACTCCCTTGCTGTAGCGGGAACCATGGCTAAAAAGTTATCATTGTAAAATTATCAGCAGTCAACCTACTTTTGTAAACCGGAACAATCCACTGCATGTACCCCATGGAACTTTCTCGTGTTCCTAAATTCATAAAGTCTTCCTTCTGCCACAAAAAGTTACCTGAAAATAGGTCCCAAGTGTAATGATCAGTTGGTTGATTTCGGAAACCTTTCAAGCGATATGTGAAAGTACCTGATAGAAAAAAAGTTCGATCATGTTAGAAAGATATTTCCTGAACCAATATTAGCAGCATCTTCTCCATAGAGAGTCGCATAACCAGCATCTGAGAAATTCTTCCAAATAAACGGATAGACGTCGTCGACATAATTCGCAGTTGAAAAGCGCTTTCTATAATATAACCTTTGCTATTGGCTTCCTCTAATGAATTACCTCGTCAATGGAAGCCTTCTTCTTCGGTTTTTCCAGTCAATATTGGAATGAAAAGCTTGTGGAGTTCCATCACCAACAATGTTGTAAGCTGCAAAACTCAACATTACATTAAAATTCAGCAAATAGCTTTACCAATTAAGAGTAACCACCTCCCATGATCTTCTCTCTCTAAAGTAAGCAGCGGTTTTTGGTCAGTTTACGGAGATAGCTCATATGCGATAGCGGAATCCATCCCGAGGAAAAATACATCCAAGCCTGACCAATTACTGGGCTGTGTTTGGTCTAAAAAAACTATAAATTGAAGAATTGATGTTAAATAAACCTTCGAATTTTCTCGCCAACTTCTCATTTCGAACCACGGACATTAAAAAGACCATCCCTAAAGGTTAAAACATGAAACGCTGATGATTATTTACTACTAACCAAAGCTTTCACCAAGTTTGCACTTCACTTTCACGAAATCATCTGGAAGAGAATCACCAGGACGAATAGCAGTCCATTCCCCATATAATAACTCGTTGTCAGTTTTCCTTGTAAAAGTTTGACTTGGCAAGACGCCAACGCTCTAAAAAACAGCCTTTTGTGGCAACAGACCAAAGCTTACTTTGAAGAAATGAGGAGAAAATCGTCTGGCCGAATTGATAAAAGCCCACTCCCTTGGCTTTCTGCAAATGGTCGGCGTGTTGGCTTTGAAGAATTGCGCCACATCAGCACCATTTATATTGAGCTTTGGAACGTTGCACACCTTATTTAGAATTTGAATATCATGAATAGCACAGTAGCTTACTTTTTCATTTGTATTCGAGGCTGAAGTGTCGCTCTTGCATATGAAACGGTCTTTCGTTGCATTGATCCGGCATCTTTATCCGATCCTTCAATCACAACGTCGAAAGATTTTGACTAAAATTAATATTTAGAACAGTTCCAAGCAAAAATAAAATACCTGATCGTAAAGTGTTGATAACGGGGGGCCTTTCGCTTTTGTTCCAAACGGTCGAAACGAAGAGAAACAACGTGCAGGACCGGAGGCTAGTGCTAAATACAAATTTATTAAGAAAATGCCTGGCAAAACTAACCAATGACGTTAAGCCATCGCTCGTCCTGTGCGAATCATGAAGTGCTCCAGCGATGACTCTTAAAAATAAATGTATTGACGAGAAATTCCTCAATAAGTTGAAAACAACTTGAAAAACGCTTTAGAAATAAAGTTATTCATATAAAACGAATGTTTTTCTGTAATTTTCTCTGTCACAGATCGTGAACCTTTTATGTTACTTTCGCTTGTATAAACCAAACTCCAATGGAATCAATTCGCGAGAAATAAAATTGAGCCCTCTAGACCAAACATTGCCCAAAACGGAAAGGCCGGAAAATGTATGATGGTCGATTTTAGTAAGAGGAAGTCGATTGAATGAGAAAAGAAAAGGGGAGAAATGAAAGGGAAGGAACAGAAACAGAGGAAGAGAATGCAGAGGGCAGCACATTTTCCTTCTGTTCTTCGTTTTCACCCACGAGAAACCCTCCAACGAGCAGAGAGGACAAAAAAGAGGCGAAGGTCATTGCCCGCCGTTGTTCTTTAGCACACTTTATCGAACATTTTAAAATGGCATATCTAACTAGTGGGAAAAGTTGACCTTCAAAAGTGGCATCGACAATTGGGAGTGATGGAACTTTAAAATTTGAACTTGGAAATGAAATTTCAAATCAAATTTCTGGTCGTTCATCATTTTCTTTGAAGACGGGGCATTTCATAGAGTACAAGACGCTCAAGTTATCAAGGGAAATGACGAACTTCAGAAGCTTCTCCTCCTGAAAATCGCATTTCAATAGTGTCTTAAAAGTTTGATTTGATAATAATGATGCTGATGGAATGTACTGGGTTGTGTGCTGAAAAGGAGATCCTCTTACACATCCACTACAAACTACGATTACTTATGTAAACCCTTGAGGGTCCAACGAGTTCTCCTACTGACTAAAGAAAATAATATCATGATTCAAAAAAACAGTATCGTCTGTATGTGAAAATCTGTGTTTGTCGATTCCGTTTGATATATAAACCCCGATTTGTGACAAAAAGTGACAACGCCAACCCTTTTTACTATTTTCCAAAGAGATTAATGTTGATTTTCAATGTCTGACTCTCAATTGATTATTAGATATGAAAATGAAATATTTTTTTATTACTATAATAGATTCAAGACGTATATTCTCACTTTTCCTTTTTTTTTGCCATTTTGCTTTGCGATTTTTGTTTTTTTTATATCTACCGTAAGCCCAAAACGGGATAATAAATGTTTATTAAATATAAAAACATAACATGATTATTTGCAAATGATTTCCGAAAAATAGCACAGATACTTGTGGGGAATTTTTGTGTCATTTCTCAGTGCACTCGGATCAACCGAGTCTTTACGTGAATTTGAGAATGGAATTTGTTTTGGAGAAGATCAAAAAATCAATCAGCATCGGTTTATGCAAGAGAAATGTGTGAAGAATACGGTACTTTGACCTGAAGATTACAGTAACAGTTCAACTGTCCACAAAGAAAAGGAAAACAAAGGCGATAAGCACTGAACAATCTAGAGAGACACTTCTAAAACACACATTGTGCACATATAATTGGAATATTGGGGTTTAGCAAGCATATGGCCATTTGACTAACTGTCGATGATAGAATGAATAATAATAACCAGAGAATTTAAAGGCTAATAAGAAGAATTAATTTCTAGGATAAAATCACATTGTGGCTGTAATTGTCATTCAATAAGTGGAACTTAGAATAAAAAATAAATTTTAGTGCTAAATAGAAAACACTTTTCTTTTCGTTTCCTATTTTTCACTAAAATTTACCGTACTATTGCGGGAATGGTTCTCGTTCGGTGTCGAACTTTTGGAGAGGAAATGCTTTCAGGGAAATGTTCAGTTAAATACGGATTTACCCATAAATTTCTACATTTCTAAAGTCTATACGATATGAAAAAATAAACGCAAGCCAAATAAAAAAAAGTGGATAGGCAATTATACAGTGGAAGCACTCTTTGGGAGTTTGCTCATCAGTGACCCAAAAAAGGCGAACAATAAAAGAACTTTCAAAGATCATGTAAAGTCACTGAAACACCGGGCGGTAGAATAATAAGGAAATCAGAATCGAAATGTTCGAAACTTTTGCGTGAGAACTGGGGGTGACTACAGCATTTCGGCGGCTATAATCTGAACAATGTCGTCCAAGTCGGCACTCAAGGCTTCGGGTGTTGGCAAGTCCGAGTTTGAATCCTAGAAAAGAGTTTGCTTATTTGGATTGTTCTTCTGGGGTGCTGTGGAGTTACAGTACCTCAACTCTGTCTCACTAAAGTATTCCAGTCTGTCTCAGTATTGCTAAAGTATGCCAAGGACTACAGTATCTTATTCGATCTACAGCCAAGGCAAAATATTAGTACTGACACCAAACACCTGTTATTTTTGGCATACTGTAGCAAGACTGGGCTTTACAATATATATTGAGAGTATAAAGTCGCAAATACAGTATGCTACATTAGTCTCACAGTATCATCTATTCTAGAAATCATCCATTCTAAAAAATTCCAAGCCGAACCTAATTCCTGGCTAACCCATTCTATACTCTTCAAAGTTCTTGTCTTACTTTGCTCCTAGCGCCAATCGACGGATCAACATCCCGGAGATAGCGTTGTAAATCAGCCGCCGACATAACATCATTCTAAAATAAGAAAAAACGATTATTGCAAATCAATGTAAGACAAACCGTTGAGAAAAGCCCGTCAAGGTGTTGATCAAAATCGTCGATTGGCGTCAGAGAATGATTGGGAAGAGAGGGAGCTGTTTGAGGGTCGATTGTGGCCATTGAAGTGCCCGGCACAGAGTGACCAACAGATGATGAGCCGACTGAGGTTGGAGCTGGCGTATATGGAGCTGAGCCTGGAACAGGATTTATTAAGGCGAGGTTACAGTAGTTTTCTAATTTAGCACATTTTAGAAAATGTGAAACTCTATCAGTCGGTCAGCTCACCTGCTAGGCTAGCTGTCTCAACGCTTCCATGACTTTGCGTCTGCACTTGATGCGGGCTGCTCGAATTGTTTGGATGTCCGGGTGTTGATGGAGTTGGTGGGCCAGCCAATGGGCCACACGGTGGCATCACGACGATTTTTGTTGGGCTAAAAAGTTGCTTGCAAATGAACTTGAAAAAGATCCATACCTAGTATTTTGATGATACGGTGACATCAAATCGGGTTTCATATCGGGCACAGAGTGTGGCATCGACATGGGAGCCGGGCTTTGGCCGATGAAGTGATTCATTGGTGGAAGAGAAGCTGGATGGGTTGAAGTAGAGGGGACTGATGATGGAGCTTTCGACAATGGAGAGCCTTGTCCCATTGGCATGTCCAATGAGGATTCGGTTTTGAAGCGTTTCATCGCTCCGGCTGGAATGATTTAAGTGAATTTGAGTGGACCAGGATTTTCAGATCCTCTTGCTTATTGTTAAACTTAAAATTAGTGTTACGAAAAAGCTATTGTGGTGACAATTTCTACCGTATCCTTTTCTATTTTGCACTTTCTATCGTATCCTTTTCAGTCTTTTCTATTGTGCTTTGTCAATAAATAAGGCTCCAGAATGACTTTTGAGTCATCCGGAGTACGATAGCTTTTCTTAAGAGCATTTTTTAGAAAGCTAACTTTATCTAAACTAAATTCCCTACCTTTCGCTCCAGTGTTATCCCTTTTCCTTCCATTAGCCACTGGTTGCACAACCGGTTCGTTAGGCGCTCTCCAATGCCCATCTTGAAAGCAAACCACTTCTCGAATCGTCTCCGGGGTATTCGCGATCAGTTGCATCATATAGTGATCGACATCGATTTCACTGTGAGCGAAAGTGTTCCTAAAAATTTGATGAAATTTGTAATCCAATGCTTTTAACTCACTTGCAATATGGGCACTCAAAGAAGGACGCATCCGGGAAACAGCACAAAAGCATTCGTAAGTCGATAGCCGGCAGATGGGTACAAGTTTTTCCACGGATTGGCACACTGTACCGGGATTTGAAGCGAGGATCGCCCAATAATAGAGTGTTCATGCGTGTCATTTGCACCAAGTGAAACACTGGAAATGAGGTTTTGTTTTGATATCAGATATTATCGATAGAATTAGTGTAAAATAGAAAACGACTAGGATAGAAAAATGGGTTGAATATCGTAATTCTTTTCTATTTTACACTAACTTTCTTCAAGGAAACATTGTTTGGCTGGATATCTTTACTGATCTGAGTTGTTTAATGAATGAATTACTGTAGTTATATTCAGATTCACAAAATAGAAAACCAAACTAAGTTAATATCTTAAAGCAATAGCAATTTACGTTTAACGTTTTCTCTCAAAACTCACATTTTCTCTGGCTGATTTCCACGGAATTCTCTGGCTTTTGCAGGCTTTCTTTCACGATCGTTGAGAGGAAATGGCCGACGTGTTGAATGCGAACCAAACTCATGATGAAACGATGCGACTGAAACAAATTTTGATTTAAATTTCCGTGAAAATTCTTCAATCTTCTTGAAAACACTTACACAAACGCAATCGCTGACGGTGAGCTCGAGAGAGTTTTCCGCGGTGTTCACGAATTTCTTGATCAAAAGCGATTGCTTTGGGTTCATGATTTGCACACTTTGTCCGTTGATTTTCACCTAAACTCCAATTTTGTTTATTATTCTAGTAAATGCAATTTTTTTTTATCCAGCTACTCACCGATAATTGTAAATAGTTGGTTTCCGGATTGAGCGGCCATTTCGCTGTCATTAGTTTGTCGTCTTTGTTAAAGCATTTCAGCTGGAGCTCGTATTCTGGCCTAAAACGATTACTATATTGTATCCTAACAATAAGGTTACTAAAGAACTACTGTAGTATTATATTGTACTATATTTTAAGCCGTACTAGTAGCTAATTGTAAGCTGCACTAAATTACGATAATTTATTCAAAACCGTACTCAATGAGTACTATTAAATTAAAAACTGCACCACAGGACGTACTATATTTTTAGCCGTACTTACTAAAGGATTATTGTAGTTTTATACTATGTATTGGCTGTCACCGTACTATCATATATTTTAAACGTACATCGCTAATTGCTGCAAGACGTCCGGCGTCAATTGGAAGGGCAACGTGCACGATTCTTTGTCGTGATCCAATTGGAAGATTTGCATCACATTCTGGAAATTTTGTTAGCTATTTATAGTGGAAATCAAGCTACCTTGGTGACAATACTGATGGGCACGTGATCGGGGAAACATTGATTCAAATCCACTCCTCCGCCCGTCGCTGCATTCGGGTTTGGGAAAGCGGCGACTGGCTGTTGACCGGGTACACCACCACTCAATTGACCATAAGGCATTGGCGGACCGGCTCGGACCTTAAGTATAAAGTTATTATAATATAACATATGATATAGTATCTTGTTGCACTTGTACCATTACCAGACTTGTACTTATAAGTACTTGTACTCCTACATTATACTACTTTTCCTTGCCAATTCCTTCTTTATTACAACTACAATACTGTTTATATACTTATAATCAAGTTAGAAGATTTTTTATTACTTTAGTTCATTTGCTCTATAGCCAAAACCCACTACTTGCGCTGGATGAGGATATCCATATTGAGGGTAATTGGGCATCATTCCATACGGTGGCATCGGGCGAACTTGGCCAGGAACCCTAAAGAAAATATTTTTATATAAATATGTATATGGTTAAACCCCGAATTTTTCTATTTACTATTTACTATTATTTCTATTACTATTACTAATTCTACTAATGAATATTACTACTAATAACGCTATTAATAATATAACAATACTATGAATATAATAATAAACGATTCCTCACCTATTCGTGGCTGAAGGGATTCCATGGGGAATTGAGCGGGATCAAAGTTGGGATGCATCATGGGTCTCTGGAAATAGAAAATTTTTTATGATAATAGATTACAAATTAAATTCAATAAGTCTATAAAAACATCACTAGATCGAGGGCTTAAATCTCAAACACTCACCGGCATCATCCCCGGATGTGGCATCATCATTTGCGGCGCTTGCCCCTGGTACATCATCGCCGGATCATAGCCCTCCATCGAACCATAGTCCATTGGGCGCATTCCCATTCCTGAATTTTGATATCAATAAATTAATTACTATCAATCAATTACCATATTGAGGCGGATATCCGGGGTATGAGGGTGAAGGCATGGGCTGCGTCATCGTCCCATCCCACATTGTCACCACAGTCACTCCTTCGCTTGTTTGGATCGACTGTTGCGGATCGACAAGCACGTACGTTTGTGGCTCTTCGACGTAACTAAAGAAATTTGCATAAAAACTCGTAATTGGAAATGAAATTAAATCGAGCTAAATCAAGCAGATGATTAAAAAGAAGAAAAAAACAATGGGCATAATGCCAGATGTAGTGAAAAGGAGTCATGGTGGGGATGGTGGTGATGGTTGGGGCATTTTCGGGGGTTAGCCCTAGAAATGGGAAAGAGGGAAGGGGGAAAAAGGGTAGAGACGGAGAGAGATAGTGTGGATGATGAGAGAGAAGACAAATGCCCTTGAAGGTGCCCCAATAAGGGGACATGGGGAAAGGGGACAAGACTCGGACAAAAAGAACGAAAGAGGGATGGACAAGAGATAGAGATAGGGGAAGGAGTAGAGGGGCAGACAAGGCATAAGGAGGTCGACGGGACGGGCCAGAGGTGGAAAGAGGGGCGGGGTGATACCCCCGAATGTGGGACTGATGCCCAAGCAAGAGAAAAGAAAAGAAAAGAGGGTAAAAAAAAGAGAAGAGTGTGTCGTCGATGTGTTGTGGGCATATTGAGGATAGATAGAGGAGAATGCGGAGAAAGACGGAAAGCCGCCGACCACAATTGATTCCGGACCACTCGGTTGTGTTTAGAGGGGTGGATAGGAGCCCCGAGGAGGACTGAGGCTCTCTTCTCTTTGTCGTCTCATCTCCTCTCTCTTTCATTTCTTTTTCATTCCCAATCCACACCCATCCTCTTCTCTTCCATCAGATGCTAGAAATCGAGTATTTTCCATACAAATACATGGGGAAATGTCCCAAAAAAACGAAAAGCAAAAGAGGGAAAGGTAAATGATTGCCGATTGCCGATTGTCGTTTTCGAAACTAAAACAATTCGGGAAAGGGGAGTGACGTCACTTTTTTGGCTCTCTTTTCTTCTCCATTTCTTTTTCTTTTTATCCCCTCCAATTTCGCTTAATATAGCTAAAATTTGTGGGACCCAAAATCGAAAACTCTTCAAAGAATCGGAAATGAAAAGAAAAGTCTTTGAAAATTTGCATAAAATAGATTCAACTCCAGCTGCACAAATACAGGGGAAAGGGAAAGCTAAAAAATGAGAAATTCTCAAACATCTTTCCAAAACAATGTTTTTGGTCATTTAAAAATGATTGTTAATGGAGTGACTGTAGAGGGTTGAAAAGATGGACATCGAATAATCAATTTCTTTTTTTTCAATTCTTTCCCCTCTCCTTCTTTCCCCTCTTCTTCCCGCTTTTTTCCGATACAAAAACACACAACCATCACCTCCATTCCCCATTTTTTTTTCCGATATTTCAATTGAATCTCTTTAACATGAGATCTTTGATGAATTGAGAAAAAAAAGGAATGTGTCCCGTAGGTTTGTGAAATGGGGAAGGGTTACGGTAAGATGAGAAAAGTGAGCTCAACACATGTTTAGCTATATTAGGATTGTTTCCTTAAGATTTCTGAGCATCAGAGCAAAATTTGCAGATAGGTCAAGAGAAATGAAAGCTTATATTTGATAAAAGGCTATTGGAGTAATCTAGTAAGTCAATTTTAAATCTATTCAATCAAATTTCGGTTTCAAATTTGCGAATCTGGACAAAATTCGTTTAAAAACAGTGAACGGATGAAGATGGAAATGAAAGAATTTCCAACAATTCATATTGTATTGCTCCAAATTGCACACACTTGTTCAAAGGGATAAAAATGGTCGTAAACGGACGGTTTTTGGGTTGGTAAGAGATGGAAGTTTATGGAGGGATCGAGGTGGTACAAGAGCCACGAAGAGAGCTCAATTTCAGCACAATCCTACACAGATCCAACTATCCAACCAAACAATCCACTGAACTTTATCCAGATAACATACCGTAAATACTGTAATTGGACCCCACCTCGTACAGTCGCGTAGTCGCAAAAGTTTTTTTAGTACTTCATTTTTTCAAAGCTCCCGTACTTTCAAAAAATGCGTCCTTGGTATCAAAAAATAGCTGAAATTCAGGGCTATTTTTTGATACCTAAGCGCGCATTGTAGCATAAACCAGTGTCGAGAAAAACTCGTTCAAAGCTAGACTACGCAACGCTCCGCACCGTCATTATGGGGGTGGGGTACTATTACAGTATTTACGGTAAGGAGAATGCTTTGCTTTGCATAAGCCATTTGCATAAGATCTTGTACTAAAAGAAGTACAAGAAAAGCTTTTGAGAACAATAATGTATTTCTAAAATGTTATTTCTATTGTGTTCAACTATACTTTTGTTTGTTGATAAAGTGCTGATAAAGTTCAGTGCAAAACAGAAAGAGGAATACGGTAGAAAGGTTCAAAGGACAGATTTTAATGTTCAATAATCTATTTGATTCAATGTATGAATATAATACTTTCCGGATAATGCATAAAATATATATATTAGCTTTGATAAGTCGTACTTTCATCCAAAACAGAAAGAGGACTACAGTAGAAAGGTTCAAAGGTTAGATTTCAGAAAGTTCATTGTATTTATATCTATTTGATTCAAAATATGAACAAATTATTTGTATAACGTATAGAGAATGGATAGTGCTTTGCTTAACTGCACTTAACTGCTTAAAAGAGATTACAGTAGAGAGATCTAAAGTCAGATTTTAGTATGTTCAAGGAGTTGATGATCTGTTTGATCCAATAGATGAATGTAATCCTATCTTTATAACGTATACAACATATATTAGCTTTAATAAACCTTTAATAAATCTTTAATAATCCTTTAAAAAGCCGTACTTTAGTTTAAAACAGAAAGCAGATTCAAAGGACTTCTTTCAGAATCTAATCGCTAGTCTAACTTACTTTATCAATAGAATAAGAAATTAACAAAAAGAAAATAGAAACAGAATATAAACAAGTTTATTGGTGGTGTTATTGAAATGACAAAATGCGAGGAGGGGTGGCTAAATTTTGGCCACACCACCACAAGAGAGAGAGAGAGAGAGAGAAAGAAAAAGGGAAGAGAAGCGGTGCTTGTTTTCCAGAAATGGGGAAAAAGGACCTAGATAGACAGACACACAACTCCTCTTTTCTTCTTCTTCTTCTTCTTTTTGCTCCTTTTCACCATTCCTTTCTTTCATCTCAATGATCAGTGAAGAATCCCTCAACATACACACAAAAATATGGTTGTTTTTGAGGGAAATTTCATGATTCCCCCCTTTCCCCCCTCACTTTTTTGTTTTCCTTTTCAAATGAGTTCACGAAAAGAAAAAGGAAACAAGAGAGACGATAACTTTTGACATACAACCAGTAAATAGGAACGGGCAAGGGAAACAGGTTTCAAATTTTAAATAACAGTTTAAAGGCTTTAAAATTATTAATTACAAAAGGTGAAATCTTTGAGAAATTAAGCTGAATTAAATTCGTTTTTCGCTTACGAATTAAGAGTAAAAAAAAATTCGAAACTTGAGAAACTCTGTCAAAATTAAGTTTATCAAAGTGACAATGATCGAAAGCTAAAATCTTGAAGTTTTCTTTTTAACTGAATCAAACAAAAAAAAAACTAGCCTTTGAAATTCTTATTTATTGAGATTCTATGTAAAAACCAAATTTAGAACTTATGAAACCTAGATTTAAATCCAAGCTTGAACTAGCTAAGTTAATAAAAAAAATCTTGCAGTAATAAGTTGATCATAGCTAAATGAAGCTGAACCAGAACTGAAACTTCTTTGTTTACAATTTATTGTTAATGTTAGGTAACTACGCGATATGGTTGGCTAAACAACCGACGCTCTCTGGGATTAAGCAAAAAAAAAAGCTTTGGGAAGAGAGAGAAAGAAAAGAGAAGAGAGATCCCTCAGCTGACTCACAACGAATCCCGCGAGAACCACCTCTCTTCACCCATTCGAAAAGATATTTGATTGAGAGAAAATGCGAGGAAAGGTGAGAAAAGGAATTCATCAATCAATCAATATTTTCAAATAATTATCTAACAATGAAGCTGAACTAAATTTAAACGAAAAATTAAGATGATTACTGATAAAGGGAAACGAAAAAGTTTTGTGTTTAAAAAAAGATATTTGAAGAAAATAATGGGAAATAATGGAGAAATGGTTGCTGGTGTCAAAAGAACAACAAGCGATCACACCCAGTGAGGAGAAAGGAAAGGAAAGGAAAGGAAAGGAAAGGAAAGGAAATGAAGGGAAAGGAAAGAAGGGGAAAGAACAGAGAACAAGTGGAGAGGTGAAATTAAGAGACAACAGACATAAGGACATTTATTGATGGGTAGGGAATCAGGGGAGATGTTGAGACAGAGAACATCCTGGAAAGACTGTAAGGGAGGGATAGATGGATGGTAGAGAGGAGAGGAGAGACCGTGAGGGGACACCCCCGCCTCTCTTTGCTTCTTTGCTTCTTTGCTCTGTATTTTGTTCTCTTTCTTCCTTTTCCCTACAGTCTCCCACCTCTTTTTTGTGTCCTTTTTGTCTTTTTTTTTCACGAATCGATCTCCTCTCAACCTCAATCCTTTTCCCCATCTTTCACACTCTCTATCCAAAATTCTGGTGAAATGGTGATTGAGATCTGTATGAAACATGGGATGACTTAGGTATACTTTGGTCGCATGAAACACTTGTCAATATAGCTCATTGATAAGTGTTTACCCGGTAAACGAGAGATTGTGGGTTCGAATCCTGACGCCATAAAAGAACTGGTTTATTCATTAAAACTTGAATATCCACTGATTGACTGTTAGACTTGAAAACTTTTAGCTTAAGTTAACTGCTTATTTGAAAGTAAAGAAGTTAATTCAAAAGTAACAAAGAAAAGTGCATTCAAAAGTAAACATTCCCGCTTTACTGATTGCTCTAAAGTCTCTAAATCTTGACTTTCACTTTATAGTAACCCTTTCCCGTCATTGTTTTCCCGTTGAAAGAGACTCAAGGTGATTCCTTAAAAAAGAGAAACTTCTCTTTTAAGGGGAAAAGCTCGAGGTGCTCAAATGAGAGAGAAGAAAACCCGTTTTTGGAGCTCTTCCCCTTTTCTCTTTCCTTTCTCCACCACCTCGACTCTTTACTTTAGAACTGAAATCGTTTCAGAGATCCAGAGAAACGAGTCCCCTTTGCCTAAATAAAGTAGAGCACAAGGCGAATCGAAAAGAAAAGGAGAGCTGGAGTGCCCCCCTTTTCGCGTCTTTGCCCGTGATTCGCTATACCGGACACGCCGGCACCGGCTCCTCCATATAGACAGAGAGGCATAGGTCGATTCACCGCCTTTCAAACACTCTGCGTCTCCACTCATCGCCTTGATCTCTGCAAAAGGAAACTCTGCAAAAAGAGCCCATCTGTGCTGTAGGTGAGAGTCGAGACGAGCGGAGACAACACTGTGTGTCTGCAAAAAGAGGGAACTCTTTCCCCTTTCTCCTTCGATCCTCACTTTCCCCTCTTTCCCCTCTTTCCCCTTCTTCACCCACCCCCTCTATCGGTTCACATGTGCAAAAAGTGGTACCCTCCACACTCGACCGGTTGTGTGAAAGAGAAAAGGAAGAGCATATCCTTGAATTTTGGTGAATTACTTACCAAAAACAAATCTTCTCTTTTGGGACAATAAAATTTACTGAAAATTGGCTAGACTAGCATTTACAGGGTTAGCTGGAAATCTTGGAGTTTTAACAAAGCCGAGAACAAAGCTGGCAAGTAGCCAGACCAGGAAGGGAAGGAGAAGCATTTCGGGCAATGGCAATGGCAATGGTTTGTCCTCTTCTCTCTCAATTTCTTCTTTTCAATTGTTCGCATCAATAGAAGAAAGCACTTCTCACACACATCTCTTTTCCATTCGTAAATCGTGAGGAAAGAAGGGAAAGAGTTATTCACCAGCTCTAAGCGAGAGAGTGTTCATCGGCGGTGAACAGGGATCATCACAAATTGAGAGAGGTGATAGATTGGATGAATTGAGGAGAAAGGAGGGAAAGGAGGGAAAGGATTCGTTGAAGGGATTGGAAAAGGTCCAGAGAAATAGAGACATGGGAATCCCCAAATTGGGAATAGATGGGAAAGCGGGCCTGTTCTGTTCTCTCTACTCTTCTGTTCTTCTCCCTATTCGATGCCAAATGGGGTGCTTACTCGGATACGGGGGAAAAGAGGATGGTGATGGTGGATAGAGAATCGAGATGGGTGAAGAAGAGATTCTTCTCTTTGATCGTCTCACCTCTCCACATCTTTCCCTCTCACTCATAAGGGGCAGCTTTTTGAGGCAGCACACACACATTCTCCTTTCCCTCCAACACACAAAGTCACGCGTCTATCGGAAAATTAGGCACGGGGCATCAAGTGGCCTGGTCGAGAGAAAGAATGCACTGGATGAATAAGACAAAAGCGATATTTCGCGGATTTTCAAACTGGAATCGATAGGATTTGATTCAAAGCAAGCTTTTCTCAGCTATAACAGATTTCTCTAAATCCTTTGAAAAACAAGGCTCTGAAAGAAAACATTGAATTTAGCAAATCTTCTTTTCCTTCTTCTCCGTGAAATAGAAAAGGATTAGGCAGTTAATTCCAAATTTTAGCCAGAAATCTTTGCCAGCAAAAAAATTGGTTTCATAGATTTCATAATCATACTGTAGAGGATGAAGAAAAAGGACAGGACAGAGAACTGTAGAGGACAGAGCACAGTTCTGGGTCTGTCTCTTTCTAAGAGATGAGAAAAGAAGGCAGCAGGTGCACAGGTCAAAAGAGGGCACCCATAGAATGTTCATCTTGGGGGGAAGCGAGGGGAGGGATAAGAGGAGAACCGTATCCCTCTTCTTCCTCTTCTTCCTCTTCTCTTCCCATAAACACTCCTTCTTCTCCTTTCATCATTCTATGCCTATGAAAGAACGTCATTTTGTTTATGCCAAAAATTGAGACGAGACTCACAAGACCACAACAAGATGACCTAATTTTTTAACAATATCTATCCTCGTTTCTAGCTGGTACTTCATTTAGCTAAAGTTCAGGAGATCAATTCAGAAGATTTTTAATATCTAGGCCTCAGTTGACTGAGTTCTACCGTAACTCACTAACTTTAATGGATGAGTAAACGGACCAGTACTTGACTAACAAAAACTAGGAATCTAACTATAGGACCTTTTATTAGTCTTGGTTATCGCTTTTGAAGTAATGCTAATTTTACTTCTTACAAACCTCTTGAAATTTCAATTTGAAACTTTTGCGCCACTTTTTGAATCAGAAGGTTGAGCTCAAAAATGGGGACAGGTGAACCCGATAAGTCACCTGGATTGGGAAGGGGAAAAGGAAAGAAATCAAAGAGGGATTTGACTCCGTTTTGAAATCAAAGAAAAAGTTGAGGCTCAGATGGGAAATTGGCAGATGGAAGGATCAGACAAATAGACTCGTTTAACTCGAACAGTTGAATCCATTTGAAAACTCGAGTTTGCAACAAATGCTAAAGGGAGCGATGGACAAAAAGTTGCTCAAGGTTTTAAGATTCAATTTACTATAGAAAGGTTACGCGCTTACAAGTTAGAGTTACGATTATAGTTAGGCTGGCTCTGTGAGGGTTAAGGAAAATCCAGAAAGTAGACAGATTACGGTAGCCCTTGAGGCCAAGATTACGATCGCTTTCAATAGTTGACGCTTTAGAAAACGAACTAAGGATTGAGAACTAAGAACTAAGCACTAAGAACTAAGCGCTAAGAACTAAGCACTAAGAACTAAGCGCTAAGAACTAAGCACTAAGAAAACGAACTTGAGTAAAGGAAGATTTCGGGGAAGACTTTCACAGTTTAAACTCGAATTAAACTCAATTTGTTTTCTTTTCATATCTTATTTTAATCAATTGAGTCAATTCCAAGAAATTCTCCTTTTGAGATCACAAAATTACGTGGGTTTTCAGTTTTTTTTTTTTGAAAGAAAACACAGTCCCATTTTGTCCTCAAAAATCATATTTCTCTGAGGCAATTCTATTTTTTTTTCTCATCGAAAAGGTATTTGGTGATTTTGTTTTTAGGAAAAAAAGAAGCGAAAGGGAAAGGAGGAGAAAATGGAGTTCACCCGGGCAACCGAATCAAAAATCCAACAAAATATGGACACCCAGAGAAATCACACAAAACAACTCTCACAGTCAGGAAAAAATGACTTTTTATCAAAAAAAAAAAATTGGAGAAAAGTTTTCACATTTTTGATGCAGAATTGTAATTGAGGGAAAAGTCAGGAAAAATTTTGAAGAAAAGTTTTAAAATATGGACTTTTTAGGGAGTGGGACAAATGCGACCTTTTTTGCGCACCCGGACATTTGCGCACCTTTTTCCCACCTTGCCCATTAGCGCACCTTTTTTCGCGTTTTAAAAAAGCTCTAAAAGCTAATATTAACCAATTTCTATTCCAAAAGTTATTTTTCTAGGTAATTTGAGGGTGTCGAATTCAAATTTTGACATAACAGAGCGTGTGGAACCAATTTGAAAGACAAAACGGCTAGGTCAAATTACAGAAAATTGTTGATTTTTCTCTTTGTATAAATCCGTCCGTTTGTTTCCACAAGCTCTGATATGTCAAAATTTCGATTCTACGCCCTCAAATTACCTAGAAAAATAACTTTTGGAATAGAAATTGGTTAATATTAGCTTTTAGAGCTTTTTTAAAACGCGAAAAAAGGTGCGCTAATGGGCTAAGTGCGGAAAAAAAGGTGCGCAAATGTCCGGGTGCGCTAAAAAAAGATCGCATTTGTCCCACTCCCGTTTTTAGTGAACTCATTGCCGGTATTAAACTTGATTTTAAGGATATTCTGTCTTGTTAGCTGAATATCTTTTCTTTTATTCACTTGCTTATCGAGCAATTTAGTGCCGAATTGAAAGTAGATTGATTACGGTAGGAAATTCTGTGCCACTGGATTACTGATTTCTATCTAATGCTAACTTGACTAATCAATTCAACGGCATACTGTAACAAAAGACAAAAGATCATATTGAGAAATTTGGAAAGAATTTTAAAGCCAATGTTTTTTTTTCCATAAGAACCCACCCTTGAATCTGGGTGATTTGACTGTTCCCATTGCCCTCTTCATCCCTTTTTTGTTTCTTTTTCGCGTTTCGCTTTTGACGACGAAATTGCTCGTGCCATCGACCAATTCGCGCTGAAAACTTGGGCTCGCCGAGAGAGAATTTCAATTATAAGAAGTATTTTAGTAAAGATACATTTTGAGTTATGGATAGATTACTGCATAAAATAGTTCCTTTACTCACTGGAAGCATTCTTCGAGAGATGTCGTCGATGATGATGGCAAAGAGCCACCAGCTCCGAGGCTAAATCACTCGAGAATCCCTCTTTGGCTGCATTGTCGACAACAGCCTGCAAATGGGGATTGTAAGGGCCAATTGAGAATATAAAATATGTAAAATAAGTACTGTGAATACAGTATACTGTACAGTCCATTGTCTGTCTGACTGTCTGTCTGTCTATCCGTCTGTCCGTCTATCCGTCTATCCGTCTGTCTGTCTGTCTGTCTGTCTGTATGTCTGTCTGCCTGTCTGTCTGTCTGTCTGTCTGTCTGTCTGCATGACTGTCTGTCTGTCTATCTGTCTGTCTGTCTGTGTGTCTGTCTGTCTGTCTGTCTCACTACAGTATCCCTATCTTAATGTAGTAATCAAGGTTACTACATAAAATATTATCATCAAAGTCATAAAATTAGTCAACAAAACAAATAAAAATCATCAAAATAGCTTTGAGATTTTGCAAATGAAACAAGAAAAAAGCAGATATTACCTAGAATTTTTCTTTTTTATATAAATGCCGTTTGAAAAGTCAAACAATAGATCCAGTGCTTAATGAAATTTGCGCAATTTCTCCTGATTCACGAGGAAAACAACAAAATGGCTGAATTCAAAAATCAAATCGCTGAACTCACTTGTAAAGCGTTGAGAAGATTCGCCTCAAAATGAGCCGTGAATGCTCTCGGATCACTGCACCATTGAATGAGCTCTCGGCAACCACCTTGGAATGCGTTCACGTCGCCCAAACTCTTAAATAACTTCATATTTTTACTACAGTGCTGTGTTATTTTAATTGAGATTCTATATGTAAATAGTTCTATGTTTAGAGTGTACAAGTCAAAATTGAAAAACTTATCCACAAACTTTTTAGCTTAAAAGCACTTGGTGTATTCGAAAGTACTGTTATTTGGGCTAGAACAAAGCTTGAAATTTTGGAATTTTTGAGATTTTCTCTTTTCCTTTTGATGTTTTCTTTTCGTTCATTGATCATCTCGCAAAATGAAACCTGTGTCAGCTCCGAGCCAAACTGATATTTTAGTTACTATTGTTATTATTAAATGATTTGTCTATTCTTATGCAAATGTGTCCTCCCCTGTGCTTATCCCTTTTATTGCCGAGAAGGGGCGGTCCTTGGGATTGCCTAGGAGGACAGTGAGGAGCCTAGGAGGATAGTGAGGCGCCTAGGAGGACAGTGAGGAGCCTAGGAGGACAGTGAGGAGCCTAGGAGGACAAGTGAGACTCTTATTTGGAGTCCCCCTTCCCCTTACATTTATTTGTAATCTATTCGTCTTATTATACTACTGTAAATAAAGATATATATCTTCCGGGTCTATGCAACTGCAGTACAGGTCGGTCATTTCACAGGGACTCCCCTCTAATACGTTGGAGGAGTTGAGTTGGGTTGTCGGGGTGTTAGAGATGGCGGGATATCAAAAGGGATCCACTCTCTTTAACTTAACCCAAATTCTAGTCCACATCCGTTTATACCTAGAAACGAATACCTGAGTGATTGTGTGGAGTCGGTGATTATTCGCGGTAACATGTCGTTCCCATTGACGGGTTTCTTCTGTTTCCATCATATTAATTGAATAACTTTAAAGTTTCAGATCATCAAATTGTGATTAATTGATCTGGAAATTGAAATGCTATTGATCGTTCATAAAGTGATAGCAAAAAATTTAAAGACAGAAAAACAAGCCTTGACTCGATTCTTGACAAAAAGAGGTTTGAAAAATGATAAAAATTCATCTAATCTAATAGGTTTTTAAGTTTTTAGCGTTAAAATTTGATAGTTGAGTGAAAAGATGAGGCGGATTTTCTTGAGAAATGAAAAGAAAATGAATTGAAGGAAATCGAAGCTTGAATTCACATTCTTTACAAAAGTATTGCAAAAGAGATTCCAGAGAACCCCAGAGATTCAATTTCGAAAACCTCTTTTAAATCAAAGAATAAATCAAAAGATATTCAGCTTAACAGATTAGTTTTTTTGTTCATAATTTAGCACAAAATATCAGCATATTAATGGGTGATAGGGAACGGTAATTGCGGCACTGTCGCTTGGCCCGCTTGCAGCCCAGACTTGAACCCGATTGAGAATGTGTGGGGGACACTCGTTCGAGATCTCTACAAGGGAAACAAGCAATATTCGAGCGTGAATGAACTCAAGAAAGCCATTCAAGTAGCCTGGAATCGGCTTCAGCCAACAGCGCTCCATGACCTTGTCTCTTCGATGCCGAGACGTCTTTTTGAAGTTGGACTAAAGCAATTGCCAACCAAGTAATTGCTTGCCTTGTACTTTGTGCTCGGATCAACGCGCAATCTCTGGCTCATTCCCACTTGGTTTCTTGGAAACTCGGTTTTCAATGAAGCGAATGAGGAATCAAGTGTGCCAGAGGGTCTGTGTTTGTGAGGGCGCAAAGTACAAGCTAGGTGTAGAGGTGTTACAAGGTTAAAGGTTAAATTCTTAAGTGATTAAGGCTTCAATTATTGAATTTGTATGCATTGCTTGTAAACTTTCGAAAAAGCACTATATCCACCTATTGAGAGCAAGGTATTAGACTGATCGAATCAATTCAAACAATGCAAAAGGGGGAAAGGGGAGAAAAATGCGATGGAGATCACGAAATAGCAAGAATTGCGATGATCAAGTGGATTCGACGAAAAGCATACAAAAGGATATGGGGGGAATAGATTGGATGGATCACACACGGGAATTCGATAGATCCATCCAGCCTCTCCCTTTTCTCATTCAACACAAAAATAGCTCCCTTCTTTTCCATTCTCTTTCACCCATCACCCATCCGATCAACCCCTCGTCGTTTTTTTTTTCTGGGAGATCGATCACCAAAAATGGATCTTCTTGGGTTTAGAAATGAATAACGTATTTTCCCTAATGCACCATTCGCCTAAATTACTCGAAATCTCGAAAAGCGCTTATCAGAACCTATCGATGTGGGATCGGGAAATGTAGCTGACGATGAGATCTGGCTGGGGATTAGAGTGTTGAGCTTCTGTGAAAACTTGGAAACCGTGAAATTGTCATCAATTCGGCTCGGCGCGGTGCACTACTATTAGGGAAAATACGGTGTCCACCTTTTGCCCACCATTAACCCATTTAGTGTTTTGACTTATGCGGCGGATGCGTGTTTCGATGCTGATTAGAAATTTACGTATTGATTCGTAGCAATACGGGAACCAATAGTTTTCTGTAGTACGGTAGTTTGTTTTTGGAAACTAATCTCGAATTCTGAATGGCTGTTGTTTAAAAAAGCCCGTAAGTTTTAATCTAGAAAAAGTTTGCACAGTTGAAACTGTAAGAATCTCTCTGAAAGTCGTAATGAAATCCACTCTTCTTTCTTCACTAAGTCTGAAATTCTGCTAACTATAAGTTCTCTAGTATTACATAAATGAGCTGAGAAATTATATATGTTGTATCCGATTTATATTGAACTTATCGCGGACGTCCGATTTAGATTACAGTCTATATAGGACGTCCTATTTAGATTCAATCTAAATCTTATATAGATTGAACAATAATATAAACATGCTTAATATATGTTCTTAAGCGTTTTCTGTAGTTTTCTGCATTTTTCAAAGGTCTTTTATTGATTACAGTCTATATCGAACGTCCGATATAGACTGTAATCTAAATCGGACGGAAATCTAAATCGGACACAACATATATACAGATCAAATACAATTCAACATTTTCGGTTTCTGCAAAATCAAAGCTTAAAAAGGCTCACGCGGTGACGTCAGTGGATTGAAGAGCAGAGAAAATTGAGCGAGAAAAGTCGGCAATCCCTATCTATCGGTTGAATGATCAAAAATTTAAGCTATCTAGTCGGTGATAAACAAAATAAACAAAAAGAAATGTTGGTTTTTGAGAATTCTATAAAGTTTTACAGGGTATGGCAGTTGTTGTCAGTTTTGAGAGTTCAATGAAAAACAATAAGATCACTTTGGGTAGCTGAGTGAGTTCTGGTGTTGATAATGATGAACAAGAGTACTCGAATCGATTACAGGATAAATAATAATAAGATCAATTTATTGAAATTCAATTCAAAATCCAAAAACAACAAAAATTTCACTTTACGCTTGTACTTTGTGCTCGGAAAAAACGCAGCCTTTCTAGCACACTTAGTTTTTCATTTCAATGTTTATTTGATAGCAAAAGAAAGCGCTGTGTGCCAGAGAAGGTGCGATTCAAAGAGCACAAAGTATAGGTGAGTTAAGCTGATAGCTTACCTTGATAGATATGAAAAACAAGATTACAGTAGCTTTCAAAAGTTGACACATTTAAAAAAGTCTTCAAAGCTTCAAAACACAACTATCAAAACACAAATATCGATCAAAATCTGCCTTGAGTTAAAGCCATTCACGATGAAAATCGTGAATGGCTTTTCTCCCAAATTTTTCAATGGCAAGATGATTTCAAACGGGGATTTTTGTTTTGATTTATGGTCTATATCAGGAAAGAAGCCCAAAAAAGGAAAAAAAAAGAGAAATTTCGAGAGAGAAAAGAAAATATGAAGAGAAAAAGGCTCTCGCTTTGATCGCGAATCGATTATTTTCCGTTTTCCAATCTCGAATTTCCCTTTCTATTTTCACTTTTTGTTGCGCTAGTCTCACAAAAACGCGAAAAAGATTTTGAGAAATTGGAGTTAAAAATTTTGGACGTCCGAGAAATCGATCAATTTTAGAGGAAAAGTTTGATAGCTTTAGATACTCTAATCATATTGTCAGTCATATTGTCAGTAATCAGTCTCATACCGTAAATACTGTAATAGTACCCCAGCCCCATAATGACGGTGCGAAGTGTCACGTAGTCTAGCTTTGAACGAGTTTTTCTCGACACTAGTTTATGCTACAATGCGCGCTTAGGTATCAAAAAATAGCCCTGAATTTCAGCTATTTTTTGATACCAAAGATGCATTTTTTGAAAGTATGGGTGCTTTGCAAAAAATGAAATACTAAAAAACTTTTGCGACTACGCGACTGTACGAGGGGGGTGGGGTACTATTACAGTATTTACGGTATCTGACTACAGTATGCTGAAGTGAAAATATGCATACAAGAGTGAATAAGCGGGGTTTTAGAAATTAATTAAAACAATGTAAAGATATTCAATCTTGATATCTTACAGTAGTTAGAGGGAAAAAAAACCTGGATGGTAAACGTTGTGTTGAAGCTAGTCTATTGTCTATTGCCTAATTACAGTAGGATCTCAAGACTGAATATCTTAATCTTGAATCATCCAGCATTGTCTACTACATAGACACTGGCACTTAGGCATACTGCAGTGAAACAGGAGAACGGTGAAGCAGTGAAAAGGAGTGAAACAGGAGACTACTACTTACGATATCTTTTGAGCTTTAGCCAAACTCCATATCAAAAATTAAAAACTATTCAAGTGATCATCGGCCGTTTCAAAATAATTGTTGTTAATGGAAAATTTGAGATAAATTGCTGAAGCATTCAGAGGATTGTAACATCGTGCAAACTTAAAAAATAAGTTTTTACTGTTGGCACGATGTTACAATCTTCTGGATGTTTCAGCAATTCAGTCGCAATAAAAAGATCGACCCGATTTTCTCTTGTCAACTGCGCAAACATAGAAAGAAAAAAAGTAGTTGAAGATGAAATATTTCTTTTTTTTTCGATACAAAATGATCCTTTTGCTCTATATTCTTTTGTTCAATGGACGAGGAGATTTTTAGAACATAACAATATACTAGAACATAACAATTTGAAAGAACAGTTTAAAATTGATTTTTCACATTGATGCGCAAAATTTGCAATAATTAAATTGTTAAAAAGTGCTCTCTAGGAAAAGCTACAGTAAACCCTACAGTATATAAACTATTTAAACTAACTCAGAACTAAACTAAACTAACTTTAAACTAACTAACTCTTTTATAGAAGTCTTTGTTAATTACTTAATAGTAGAATAGATAGAGAGTACGGTCATTTTTTCATAAACGCAGCTTTTAGCAAAGCAAATGAATACGGTTGAGAAATTGAAGAGTAACAAGAAATGACATTTGATATTTTGCACTAATATTAAGCAAATCGATGTTCAACTAAAATATAAATAAAGATATAAATAAAGATCAATCTTTTGCTAGCTTCCCGAACAGAAAATTTCGAATTTCACTTTTAGTTGCCTTTTGGTTGCCTTTTTGGCTTATCACAATGGGAATTGGGGGTGGAGAAGTGGTTTGAAAAGAGAAAAAATGGGAAAGAGAAAACTACAAATGAATAATTGCTTTGACAACAAAAATGGTTGGCTTTTGGATTGGAGCTTGAACAAATGGATAAGTTTAGCGTTAAAATTCAAAAGAAATTCGTTCGTTAAAAAGCTAAATGACGCGAAAGTTCGCGTGAAATTGCTCAATATGACTAAATATTCGTTGAGGAAAAAGAGGAAAAGAGAAACAGACAATAGACACGAAAATGTGAGTCACAAACAGGACAGCTCTCCCTTCAAAAAAGAGGGCTTACTTGGGAAGTGAATTTTGACGATCGACCGAGCAAAAGTTCAATCAAATATAGACAGCAATGCGTTTTCTAAAGCGTGTCAATTTTCGAAAACTACCGTAGTCGTGGCTCTAGTTTTGCTTACGCCAGCTTTTTTATACCGTAGTTTTGGTTCTTGTTTATACAATCTATCCGCTTCTGTATCTTTTGGTATATTTCGTAACAGAATGACACTACTGACAGAATGTAAACAAATTGATTAAAACTAGAGTCAAGATTACGGTAGGCTTTAAAAATTTGAAAATTATTTTAGAAAGTATATCATTTGAGAGAAACGTACCGCAAGCTTTGATTTTACATTACAAAAGTTCCAAAAAATGCGTCAAAAGTAGACAAATTGGATAAGACTAGCTTCGATAAGATTTCGGTAGCTTTTAAAAGCATTTGAAAGTAGCCAGGATTACATTTTAGAAACCCCATTCCCAACATATTATACTCTAGTCCAATACTGGTCGAAGTTTAGGGTATTGTACTTGTACGGATGTTCTCCGAAGCCATATGAAACATTTCTAAAGTCTAACAGATAAAAATTCTAGCTTCCTTTCAAAAAACATTGAAAAATGGTGAAAAACTTAAAAAACGGGATCGATTTGTGATGAAAGAGTGGGAACTCTCCCCCCAAATCAAACAGACCCGCAGAGACAGAAGACAGACGCACAAACACGTGAGGAGAGCGGTGCGCGGAAGCGGAATCTTTTTGACGAAAGTGCGCTGTGAAAGGAAAACGGGAAGAGAGAAAGTGAGCACAGTCTTGTTTCACAGATTGGCACAATTTTGAAACATTTTACCAGACGCAGTTTGAAACGAAAATGGAATGCGTCTACATTACTCTGTCGAAAATTTGTTGAAACTTTGAAAGCTTTCACTTAAATTTCATTTTCATTGAATGCACTTTAAAATAGAGATTGACTAGCAAGATCAATTTGTAACCCTCTGGAAATCAATCCCATATCAAAAAATTTCAACGACAAGCTTGTTTGTCAACCAAGAGATATGCCAACTAGCTGCCAAAATTTTGATGACGTTTCGGGGTTGGAGGTGGAAAAGATGTGTGAATGGAGAGATGAGGTGACAGATCGGAACAGACATCTGTTCAGATGAGGAAATCACGAGAAGGGAGCAAACTTTAGAAAACAACTTTCATCAGTAAACTACCGTAACCTTGCGACGAGAGTAAAGTACCGTAAGGCTACCATAATCTTATGTGATCTGTTATCTACCGTAAGCCTGCTTGGATTTTCTACCCAATCCATCTACTTTTGATATCATTCGTCAGCCTTTAAGAATTCTAACAGAGGGCTATACGGGTTGGGGGACAGGGCTTCCAAAATGCCTCTGGCACGTTGCCATAAAAACGTTCCTAAGGTTTTCGAGTACGCTGTTTCGATTGGTGATATTTTCAGAACCTGTTTGCGACTTATTTCTTCTTGTTTTCCTATGTTTTCTTGCTTGCCTACAGTGTCAAACATGAGCTTGCCGTTTGTATCCATAATATCGATAAACAAGTCTACCCCCAACCCGTATAGCCCCCTCTAACCGAATTTGAACAAAAATTGTAAAACTTAGCTGAAACTAGACGTAAACCTACAGTGATTTTCAACATCCTCGGGAATAGGACCTAAATTGCATCCAATTTCAGCTCTATAAAAGAGTTTTATTCTAGGGAACAATGGCTCACTCGTGTACTCCTTTGAGATGAATATTTTTACTTTACACTGAGCTCTCATAATCTCTGCATTACCCTTCTCTGATACTTCTCAGTACTTGGCAAAAACAAGACAACGAATAGCTCCAAACTACAGCTTACGACATTTAAATTTTCGCAGCCATCACAAAAAGGATTTATTGCCATGTTTTTTACACTTGTAAAAGTAAAAAACGATATCAAATTTGTAAGGAGCGTTTAGTTTTATTGTTGCTCTTGCAAAAATTAGCTAGTCCCGTTGTTAAGTAACCCAATTTTTGCAACGTCATTTGTTTTTTATTTTACTGGTCTCGTTTTAAAACTATCAAAAATCCGCTAACTTGTCATTTTTCAGGGTATGGCTGAGAACAATATCTCAACAAGACTACGGCGTTCCCTAGTCAATCGTGTCAAGAAAGAAATCCGGTATTTATTCTAATGAATTTAAATATATTTATTTTTGTAGAGAGCCAGCAACAACTTCTGAAGAAGAAATTGAAGAACCTGAAGAACCTGAATTTGGCAAGAAGCGTAGAAAAACAAATGCGGTAAAAGAATATTTTTTGGCTTTAGCAAAAGTTTTTAGGCGGGCAAGCCTGGCGCCAACAAAGATCCCGATTTTCACCCGACCGCCACTGCTGAAATTTCCATAAAGGGGAATAGAGAAATAAAGAAGCTTCTCGATGATTTCAACAAGATGGGTCAATCTAAAAAAGTTTGTATTTGCGAAGCTCGATAAATTTCATGCAAGAGTTTAGGTAACTGCACGTTATCAAACGTCAGTGGCAAGTCGATTGATTCCTGGGAAAAGTTCACGGGTTTCCATATTAAAAGGAGGAACATTACGATTCAAATTCAGAAAACTTGAAGTCACAGGTTTGAACCTTTAGCCTCATTTGACCAATCTCTTTTAGAAACCGTTCCAAATAAAGCTGATTTGCAACGATATGAACGCGTTATTTGGGAAGCGCAGAAAAGATGGATCGAGAAGGTATGTAAAACAATATAATTAGTTAACTATTACATGTTTTAAGATGGCCAGTCAAGAGTTTTGTGCTGCTTTGAAGAACTTCACTTCAACCCAATGGACTCCTTCATCTGAATGGTTTCCTTAAAATTTATTCATCAAGTACCTAAATTTAGCGACTTTGTTGCAATGTTAAAGACAAAGAAGAGTATTGGAATACGACATGGGGCAATCACAACAGCTGTGAAGGATAATGTAGATTTGCTTTCAGTAAGCATAATTATTGTCCGAAAATCATTTAAATAGCTGTTTAGTCGGGTGCTGTTTTGTATGATTTGCCAATCAGCGAGCTGCCCGACAATTTGGAACAAATCACTTTTGGAAAACATACATTTGTTGACTTTAAATCCGGATCTCGTAAAGTAAAGTTTTATTTTGAAAGCTCAATATTGATATTCTAGAAAGAAATTACTTCAAGCGACTGGACGTCGATTGCCTACACTGGTGGACCAATTAACAGCCTTGACTTTGCCCCAGTTCAACGTAAAGATGGTTAGTGATACATGATATATTTTTAATTAACATGTCTAATACTAGGAAGCGATATTTTGGCTCTTTCCGTTTTCCCCGAAGATTCAACACTCACAGGGAAAGGAAGAACTTGGATTAAACAAACTGGATATTTTCAACTTTGGATGCTGACAAGGCCCACTGAAGGGTATGCCAATTTTTAGATAAATGATTGTTCTTTGTTTCAGCATGACAATTCCAACACTTTGCGGTATTGTTCGAATACCAGATGAAGGTTTGGTCCTAAAAGTAAAATGGTGCGCTAAACCATGTGAAGTTCCTAAAAAAGGTTTTTTAGTCGAGATAGTATTCTTTTAAAATCTTCTTATAGACGATGATCCAATTGGTTATCTTGCCGTTGCAATGGCTAGTGGAAAGATTCTGATCTACAAGTTGCAATAATAATTTTGAAGTTTGAAAGTAATTTCTTCAGAATTTCGGATGTTCTATTCAACAATTGTGACGCGGAGGCTGTTCCCGTATTTGAACCATCACCAGATTTTGTACTTCGTCAAGAAAACAATCCCGAATATATGACGGGAGAAAATGTGCGCTTTTCGTTTTTCAAATTTACAAAAAGTTCCTTTAGCCACTTGGTTATCCTCCAATAATTTCTGTTGATTGGGCACATTTTGCTGGTGGAGATCGAATTGCTGCGGTGAATGCTGCCGGTTTGCAAAATTTGCTACTATATCAGTGCTTTATTTAGGAAACATTCTCATATGGGAACTTTCTAACGAAGAATTCACGACGGAAGATGGGATCTTACCAATTGAGATGAGCTCTGAATCTTGGAATTCTCCGGCTGTGGATGTGGTCTGGAACTCGGAGAAAGCTGGTGTGTCCTTTTTGTTTTGGTTTCATATATGATTATTTAGTTGCCGTCTCCTTCCGTGAAGGTCTACTACGATTGCTTGACACAGACACTGGAGAATGCCTGTTAGAAGAAGCAACGGTAAAAAGAAGGCCTGCTTTCAATTAAATCTTTTGCTACTTTAGATCCGAACCGCCGGTCAACGTTGCTCCGCACAGTTACGTCTTTTTCCTGGCGTTTTCTTGCTGCAAGTGGTCACGAGCGACTCCAGCAATGGTGGAACATGCTACTTGATACCTGATCGCCAAAATAAAGGATATTTTGTGGTTCCACTCAGCAATAAGTTTGGCACATTTTTAAATTAAAAAACTTTTTGTGTTATTTAGACATGATATTTGTATATGGAGCATTAGCACGTGTGCAATAAACGGTGTTGTTTCATCTTGTGGAGTTGATGGTTGGTTATAACTACATTCTCTATCCGTTACCATCAATAACTGGCTTTAAGGCGCGGTGTTGATGTCAATAAATGGCCGAATCGCTCCAAACAATGCCACAGTTGATTTTACTTTCTCGGCCCAGCGCAAAGCACTTCAGCTAACGAGGTAAAAATAAAACTATTTTATATGAACATTCCTGTAAAGGTTTCGTGTAAACCTCGCCCCACCAACGGACGATGTAGCTCCTCCAGTTCACGACACCCATGAGCTAGCTCAAAAGTATATGTGGCTCGAAGTGAACGTGTCGGAATGTGATCGGGTGATATTGAAAAGCATACATTTTTTAATTAGCTGTTTTTAGATACCTGTGCGTCGTAACATCCACTCATGCGGCGATCTACGACTTGAGAGTCTCAACTGTATGGCAACAAGTTATGGCGAAAATCCAATAGCAGTTTCGGGTGGACAAGCGGGTCTTTTATTTGTTCTTCCTTGTCGCGTATAATTTTTACTTTAATTTCTTTGTTTTGTCGGAGTCAAAATCAGATATCGTAAGCATTCAAAAGTCGTGCAAGAATACACTAGTAAAAGTCGTATTTGTAACTAAACATCATAAAAAAGTTCAGCTGATAAGCTAATGGACGATATTTATTTTTGACTCTATTCAAATTAATATTGCGAAGTTTAATTGATTGGTGTAACCCTACCTTTAATCTCTGAGATGTTTTTTTCTCATAAATTGCAGTCCTCTTTGTTATTTAATTTGCTCAATGCGTGTTATTGTTTTAGTTTTTGAATCTACTTGGTAAATCTTACAATACCAACTCGAAACATGGAACCGCCCCTTTCGCCTAGCGTCGCTTAAAAAGTGTACCAGCTCGTCATCGAATAAAAAACTTGTATCTTTGTAGACATAACTTGTCTAACATTTTTTCTTTAACTACTAGCATAGAAATAAATTTTATCGACGTCAAATCCGTGAATGTAAAAAAAATGACAAGCAAAAGACAAAAATGAGATAACAAACAATCGTGCTAAAAGATCCTAGAAACCACAAGGGAAACCATAAATCAACCCAAGGTTTTAGCAATTTCAACAAGAAAAGAAAGAGGATCATTGAAATGCAAATAACGGTGACAAAGACTTTGTTGGGTGCCAAAGTTGGAGGACTTCGGTGTTGTTACGGGTACTTCTCTTTCTTGATATTGGTATCAACATATTCTTGATGCGAACAGTTTTTCCAAAAAAGAAAGTGGTTTTGAGAAAAAATCGTGCCCCTCCCCACCTAGGCTAGTACTAAAAACCTTCCCAATGGTGGCTAATTTCAGACATTTATGTAATTTTTATGGTAGGGGTAGAAAGTATCGTGCCCCTCCCCAACTAGGCTAGTATCAGGTTTTTTGTTGATGGACACGTGCGCAACATGCGCAACATGGGGCGATCACTTAGGGGGGCACTGGGGGCGTGCACTTTTGTGGCCAAGGGAGGCACCGGAAGGGGTCGCTCCGAATATACTTTCAGAGTACCGCCCCCAGTGTCCCCTAGTGTATTGTCTGTTTTATTATGTTTTTTCGAGGGTCCCCGCCCATTCCGCCCAAAACTTTAAATGCAAACTTTACCTGCAAATGTAAATTTATTAGCTGAATATTTTACAATTAGCACAAACACAAAGCTATTTCAGAATACATTCGAAGTTATACTTTCAGAGTATCGAATATTCACCTAATAAATTACATTTGCATGTAAAATTTGCATTTAAAGTTTTAGGCGAAATGGGTGGAACCCCTCGAAAAATAATAAAACAGACAGTGCAGCAAGAATGCAAACGAGAAAGTCAGAGTCACACAATTACCGTACTCTCTCTTCGTCATGTTCTAAAGTGTGCTCTTACGCTTTTTACAGAAAATTTAATTCATTTTACTTTAACGCAATCCTTTCTAAGTGGTTCGCTTCAACCTTGTCTTTAAAGCGCGGGATAAACTTAGGAAAGCCCCGTCAAGATTATCTAATATTTCTTGAAAACGTTAAGATCTATTGCTAGGTTTTTGGGGCCTGACTCATCACTCTAGTTCTCCTGTCCCGTAATTTTTGTAGGAAATAAGATACCCGTTGTCGAAATTTTATTTTATCTGCTTTCCATTTCGTTTCTGTGCACGTTTTGTTTTTATACTTGCAACTTATTTATTTTTAGATCGACGAGATTGGAGGAAAACGAATCGGGGCAACGAGCAGGAGAGCAAGACCTGCGGCTAAAGGAGCGATCAAAAGAAGACAATAAACAGGACGCTCAACACACTACGATGGAAATGGCTTTCGGAGAAGATGTATTTTTTTTTTGCTTTGCTTTAGTTTTAGTTTGTTCCTTTAGACGATCGACTCGGATGGGGTCACGCATAAGGCCGAGGCAAACTCGCTTGTTCAAGTCTCCGCTGACAATTCAATTCAAATTGATGCCGAGGTTGAGTGTTTCTGATTTAATCTATCTTACGTAAGTGATTTAGACACGCGGCGAGGATGGTAATGTTCGGAAGGACGATGATGAGCGTCACAAGCTTTCCAACTCCTTGCAACTTAACATCGCCGGAACTGTCAGTGGTTTATCTATTTTGAGAAACAATATAGTCTAAACCATATTTTCCTTTTTTTAAGCAATAATATTCATTTAGACAGTTAAGGAAGAGCAGGACGGCAATGTGCTACAGAAAAAGGAAAATGATGGCGGCAATCAATTGGACGTTGGCTATACTGCGCAAGTGGACGTTAAGGTTTTTACACTTATAGCCCACTAATAGTAAGAAAATCCTAAGTCATGCTTTTACTTTTTGCTTTCATAAATTATTTTAGCCCGTCAATACGCCTAGGAACCAACGGTATATGAGGCGCGCTAGCAAAGATGAGAATGTGGCTGCAAAAGAGCTCGAATTGATTCGCAAGACGATGGTGAAGAAGAAAATTAAAAAAGAAGCACTCACTCAAACTGAAAAGGGGAAAGATGGTCTCACCAGCAGCAACTTGCAATTAAATGACTCACTCAATGACCAGGTATGAAATTTAAACTAAACGCTTTGTATTGTGTTTTTAGCAATTAACCAACCCTGCTGTCAAAAAAGCTCGCCAAGGTCTTCTCACTCGTTTTACCGTGCGTCAGCTGCGAGAATTCATCTGCATTTCCCATAACTTGCCTCGTCCGTATCAAGTAAACTATTAAATATTGTTACCTTTAAACTTGGAAACTTGGTAACATTTGCGAGGCTGAAGTTTTTCATATAAGCTACATTTTTTGCTTTAGTCAAATGGTAGCGCTCCAGTTCGTCGTCAGCAGCGTGAACGGCGAGAAATGCTTCGCGTTGCTATCGTTCCAGCATTTCAACATCAATCCACTGCTGGTAATGGTTATCCAGTGCCATTAATAAGGCTATCGTAATGTTAAGTTTAGATTTCAAACTAACTTTCCCGTTCCTGACAATGCAAGTCGGCGACTATCATGGCAGCCTGCCATTTGGAATGGTCGTTCATCCACAACAACAAGGACGCATGAACTCTTTGACGCTTAATGGTCAATCGGTAATGATTTATCGATTGTATTCTTTGAAAAAATTCTTTTTAGAAGCGCTTGATCTATGAATTTACGCTTCTCGACAACAATAACAATCTGGGTTACGCTGTCTGGACTTTGGCTCTTTCCAACATTGTTGCAATCTACGTCTTTGATCATTTAGTTTGCATGAAGGTATGTTTTTGGCGTCTATAAGTTAAGTTCATTATATTCTTGGCGTGATGAATAAAGTTATTCGCCACCAAGCTAATCTGCATCTTTAGCTTAACGTTTCTCCGATGCAAGTGGTGTCCTTTGCTGGCAATAAATCAAATCTTAGTTATGATCTGACAAATGGACAACGAGCGTGCTCGCCTTTTCACTACTTCCAACTTAAGTACTTATTTGTGTTTTTGTTTTCTAGCGCCTGACATCTTGATTTTGAGTTATCCTAAATGAGACTCATAGACTTTTTTAGAAAAAGATTAAATTTTAGTGGTCCCGCGCAGAACTTTTTCGATGGACTGGTGAAATGTGATGCTAATCACTTCGCAGCTATTTTGTTGAGTGAAGAGGAATTCTTTGAGGTATTTAATTTTTTATTGCTTTGCTAACATCTTTTAGGATGCCATCAAAGCAAAAGGTGAAAGCAACAACAATCAAGAAGAGCATTACCTTCACGAGAGAAAGCCATATGGGTTGATGATGAATAGCAACGGTGGAGGTCAATTGAATTCCGATGAGGTGAGCTCTGTTTTTAAAGCTGATACTCGGCCAAATAGTGCCCAAAGTCATTTTAAATGTTTAATCGTTTAGATAACATTTGTTTTTAGGGTGGCATCGAAGCAAGGTATGATAGCTACAACATGACTCAAGAGAATTTCCTTCACGGTAAAAAGCCATATGACGTGGTGATGAACAGCAATAGTAGCGATCAATCGAATTCCGTTGAGGTATTTTTCGTTTTGAATTTTATTTTGTTCAACTAACTTGTGAAATTTAAATATTCTCAGAATTGTTTTAATGATCAATTACTTTAGACTCCTCGGCGTAGTAAGATGGTATCTCCAATTATGGCAACTGAATCTCCAAGCTATCAGGAATTGCTTCATTACGCAGCCTTGGGTCACTCAAAATCTTTCGAGGTATGTTGAGTATTTTTATCCTAATTGCTGTTTGTTCCATAGAATGCTCAGTCTCAAAACATTGATATGGATCTCGACATCTCATCAATTTTAATGTAATCAGTGAATGGCCTACTCAAACTGCCATCAATGTCGGTCATGATCAGTTAAAATTTCAAAATCTTTTGTTACCTAATCTCGTAATCTCAAAAAAATGCATTGATGTAGTGTTTTTTTTTTCTTTATTGTTGGGTTAGTATTTACGCATTTTTTGCTTTGTTTAAATATGTTCGGTTTGTTTGACATGTGAATAAATGTTGTTGGGGATCGTTTAAATCTAAAAGGCCAACGGCCAAGAAGAGTTAGCAGGTTCTGTTGAATTTAACACCACTCGTCTGCTTGGTTTAGAGTTAAAGTATGAATCACCTTTGCAAGGAATTTTGCGTATTTCGACAGAAGCTTCGACTCCCGAGCACTGGTATGATTGTTGCCATTGCTTTCTCCTTTTTTGGATGGCGGATGACTTTCCCTCCAATGGTTCCTAGAAAGGAAAGCTCATGCAGCTTCTTTGCGGAGAACCTGTTCTTTTTGCCTATAGGGGAGGGAGGGGGTGAATGCCGTTCGCAGGATGGCTTTCACCTTTATCTCCTTCTCTTCTCTTCCCCGATTTCTCCCCCAAATTCACCGATCACCTCCTCTTTTTCCTCCTTCTTCTTCTTGTTGAAGTGTTGTTCTGTCACTACTTTCACTTTTCTTTTCTTTTCTTTTCCCTTTAGAGCAATACTCGTCTTCACTTTCGATGCCAATCGCTTTCGTTTGATCTCCAAAAAAGATCGCTCTTTCTTCGTTATTTTTTTCTGAACGCTTTACGCAAATTCTGTGCTTTCCTTTTCTAAAGGCTGAATATTTTTGGTTTTGCTTTTTTTTGTATACAATTTTGATTTACAAGTTCTTCAGCTGAAATCAGGAATTTCATCTAAACATGCTTTTCAATGCTCTTTTACTCACTTTTGCCAAATGCCATGTCAAATGCAATTGTTCATTCGAAATTTTGCTAGATTCTTGACTACCTATGTTTTTACAGAAAGTGGATGGATGAGGGAAAAGATGGAAATGAATTGATCGCATTGACGAGTAGAGTAAAAGAAGAAGAAAGGCGATCAAATGGATGTATTCGAGGAGTGAATTGTCGTGGATGGATCGATTGTCGATGTCTCATCGATATCTCCACTCCTGCCACACTCGAAAGGGATTTCAATGCCTGGCTTCGGGTAAATGATCCATTTGTTTTACTAAAATTCGAGGGGAATTATGTATACTGTCACGGCTATGATAGTTTTTGAAAGTTGACGCATTTTAGAAAGCACATACTTGAACATTTTATAATGTGCCCAAAGCAACTGTTCTATAAAGCGTATTGTAGATTTGAAATTTTCCATTTTACTCTTAAGTATCAAATCTTAATCAGTCATTTTGTATCCAAAAATTGAAAGACAATTTTCAGGGAATGTCTCCTTCTTCATCAAGTTCAGGCACCGAATATTCTACCGAAATTTCGACAGAATATTCGACCGATTCTTCGATGAGATCCGAATATTCGGCTGAATATGGGACAATTGGTGAGAAAAATTGAATCTAGAGAAATGCTTTCACTAAAAAAAAATCTAGAAGGATGCTATCTAGAATATTCTCTGGGTTACTCAAATTTTCATGAACACGAATTTCAAGCGGACAATCTGATAAAAATGGAAACGGTATGAATGGATTAAATGTATGTAAATGTAAAAGAAATTTTAGACAATGTTAGACTATGAAAAGGAGTCAAAAATGGGACAACAATCAGTGAATCGAGAAATGAACGCGAAACCGGAAGATGGAAGAAAAGCGAGAAGAAAAGGAGGTTTGAGAGAAACGGGATTTTGTGTTTTTGAATTTTTGAAAACTAACCTAGTCTTGGCTCCAATTTTATTCTTTGTGAATCCTCACAAAATTGGACAAAAAGTTATCGCCAGATTGGCCAGATAAAAGCTAGAGCGGTGGTTTTAGAAAAACTTTAGTTGAGAGATTAGACCTCTAATCAAAGTATCAAGAAGATAGTGTAAAACATGGAAAACATTTCAATCCAATCATATACCCGTTTCTAGGTGGAACGAACCTTTATGGCCGCCCGTATTGCCCAGGCAGGCCACTGTCGATGCTCGAAAGGACACAAATCATCGAGTTACACCTAGCTGGCATGAAAGTAAACGCAATTTTATAATAAACCAAGATTCAAATCCATAATAATCCCAGGTGAATGCCATCTCGAAGACACTTTGCATATCGCATGGATGTGTGAGCAAAATCATTTCAAGGTTTTAAAAGATAAACGCCAAATTGATAAACATTCTAGATATCGAACAACGGGAATCCTCTCACCAGCCTCTTCACCTGAACAGCGAAAAGTGAGAGGGAAAAGGATAATGAATGGAAATCAAGATGATCAAATCCCTTCTTTCACCCCACTCATTTCCGGTTGAAGGAAAAGAGGAGCCAACCTAGGTAGTTGATTGGTTCCAAATTTTCCTCTTAATTTAAGCGTTTTCTAAAAGATGTTCTCTGTTAAAAGATACTGTATTTGCTTGAACCAGGAGGCGAGCTGGTCTGCAATTAAAAAGTGTGTTTAAGAAAAGATACTTTCCGATGTCTTTCGGGGAAAGTATACAGTTAGATACCAGGTCCAGGATCCAGGCTTTCAAAGGTTTCAAAGATAAACAACTATTGAGCTCTTTATTGGTCGCAAGATTATGGTACCGTAAATACTGTAATAGTACCCCACCCCTCTCGTACAGTCGCGTAGTCGCAAAAGTTTTTTAGTATTTCATTTTTTCCAAAGCGCCCGTACTTTCAAAAAATGCGCCTTTGGTATCAAAAAAATAGCTGAAATTCAGGGCTATTTTTTGATACCTAAGCGCGCATTGTAGCATAAACCAGTGTCGAGAAAAACTCGTTCAAAGCTAGACTACTCAACACTCCGCACCGTCATTATGGGGGTGGGGTACTATTACAGTATTTACGGTAGCTAACTTCTACATGAATTATGGTATTTAAATGTATACCTAAAGAACACCGGCATTACGGTACATTTCTTTTGAAAACATGTTTTAGAAAACGCTTTAAGCATAGGAAGTTCGATAGATCTTTGTTTCCACTGTCAGTATTGAGCTGTGATTGTGACATTTCTTAAGCCTAGCAATTGCTTTTTATTGTGCCAATTTTGTGATTTCTCTATTTATAAACTGTTCACTAAAGCAAAAGATTGTTTCCCTTTTTTTTCACTTCATAAGAAGTATAGCCATTTTCTCCTCTTTTTCTCTTCTCCTCAGTTTTTAAAGCTTTATAGGCTTTACAACAACAGAATTCCTGCCGAATTGCAATATAAATTCACTTTCTATAAAATGTGCATCTTGTAGTTGCTCACACGTTGAATGGAGCTCTCTTTGAATCAATAAAAATTTACATTTACAAACTGTTCGAAAAATAAATTTGCATTTAACGGTCAAGGAAAAGAATTCCCGTCTCTTTTCCAGCATACAATTTTGTTATTTTTCTCAGCTTTCTGACTCGATCAACCATCAAATCGCCATGCTTGTCAAGGTTCGATTTTTCTTTTCTCGTTCTTTTATAAACTTTTCTTGTTAAATTGATCATTTTGCTAATAACCTTTACGTTTATGGTTTTTACTAACTTTATAAACTTATAAACTTTATAAACTTATAAACTTTATAAAACTATAAACTAATAAACTTGTTTATTAGCATCGTTTAGTGTTAGGTAGTTAAATGTTAAACTTTTTTGATAAAATTGATGGAAATGTTGTTATTTTTGTTTTTGCATTGCCAGTCTCTTTGTTTTAGGAGTATCGAATTCTTCTGCCATTCAATGTCGACGACTTTAAACGGGGACATCTCTACACAACCGCCGAGACGAGCAAAGCTGAAACTGGAGGGGGAGAAGGCGTTGAGGTTGGCTTGTTTTTTTTTCATTTGTATAAATTTAAATTAACAATTAGTTGGCTTAATTGCTTTATTAGTCCTGATTTCATGAAGCTTAAAGTCATGCTTAGCCATAGCCTTTCAAATTTCATTTACATTTGACAGTTTAGATATTGAAACAAGAAGAATTCGAATCAGACGATTTGCGCCCCGGTGAACATCTTGAAGGCATCTACACTTACAAGATTTATCGCATCAAAAGTAAAGTGCCATGGCTTCTGCAAAAGGTATTTTCATTAGTATTGTGGTTACTTATCTAATCTTTTATTAGATGCTCCCTGAATCCGCCTTTATTCTTCACGAGGAATCGTGGAATGCTTACCCATACTTCAAAACTGTTGTCACTGTAAGTTTATTCATTTCTTTATCCACAAATTTATTAACTTTAGAATCCGGGCTACATGAAGAAAGGTTTCAAGATTCAACTCGAATCGTACCACATCCAGGACAAAGGAGACGCAGAGAATGTAAAGATTTCACTTTGCATTTCTAAAGTTGCTAAAGTTTAGCCTCTTAACGCCAAAAAGAAATGTGAGGTCGTTGCCGTGGACATTATTGATGAAAAAAGCCTCAAAAAGGTGGTGAGTTTGTTGCATATGAAAAGGAAATTCATTTTTTTTTCTATCTTAGGATCTTGAGGCAAAGATTAATCCGCGTATGGTTCGTAGTGAGAAAATGGAGATCGGCCCATTGAAAGACGGTTGGACCGAAGATGAAGACGTAAGAAACGCTTTGGAACTTTCTTTTACATGTGTTTCTGCTTCAGATCCCAGTTATGTGTGCCTACAAGTTGGTATCGGTGACTTTCTCGTGGCGAGGAATTGGTGGTCAAATCGAGAAGTTGATCCACAAGAATTACCCGCGTCTCTTCAACAAATTCCATCGGTTTGCTTGTACATTCTTTTTCCTGTGTATATATTGTCTTTAGTGAGGTGTACTGTCGATCCGATGAATGGTGGGACATGGATATGGATGAAATTCGCGATTATGAGGAGAAGACTGCTAAGAAACTCCGCAAGATGATCAATGTGTGTTTGGTTAATATTTGATCATTTTAAATTGGCTGCTTGCTGTTAGTTAAGATTTATTAAAGTGTGATTTTCTATTAACGAATTTCTTTTCAGAATAATCAGAAGCGTGGTGTGTACAGGGCCGCTTCGGACAGCGAGCGTCTTAAGTAACGAAATTTGATTAGAATGACTATTGACGACAATGTCTCCGTTTTTTTTTGTGTTTTCTCGCCCACTTTTCGTTCCAATAAATCTTTGGAGGTTGAATGTACATATTTTCTTTTTTCCCACTTCTTAAAAATGGATTAGTTTCTAGTTTTCTGTTAGAATTTTGTAATGGGAATTTTTTCCTTTACGGGAAAATGGTTTTGAAGACGAAGAAGTCATTTGTGGTTGGGCATTCCCATTGTTTAATCCCTCGTTTCTTCTTCAACCATATAAGCCTTTCCTTTTCGTGCGCCATCTTCAAGGAAAAGGAATAGAAATGACACTATGGCCTTTCCTCTTTTCGAGATGGCTCATGATCGAATGCCCATTTGAGAGGGGCGTGTCTTTCTTGACTTTTTTCTCCATCTTTGCCTCTTTCCAGTTACCGTAGTTGTATGAGAGTTGAATCAAAAGCTTCACTCGTTTCCTTTCTTCATATTGTGTTAAGTTGTGAAGAGGGTCGTCCTCCTCATTCCCCTTCTCCTTCCCCTTGCTGCCCTTCTGTTCATTCATAATCCACTTGGGGCTCAACCGGACTCCTTTCCTTCCCACATAGATCCCCTTTCTTTTTCCTAACTCCAATATGGATCATTCTCGATCTGCTCTGCACGATGTACACTCCACCTTTTGCTCGGGTTTGTGTTGAGTTTATTTTTTGAATTTTTTGGTTTTGAGACTAAGCGGAACTTGCATTTATATTTTTTACAAAAAAAAAATCCATTTAGTACCATCCGGACTTGGCCATCTTGCTGACACACACTCAACCACCACACATCTCCTTCAACCCCTACAGGTACTCGAATTTTGAGTACTTTGTACAAGAAAATTTCCCAGGATACGTGCGCCTCGTTGACCCCGTTGACATCACCATTCGATCAGCTGCATCAAGCTTTCTATCCGACTCACATCTCACTTCAAGATCCGCTCAGTTTGCATGTAAATCATGCAAAATTGCCGAAAAGTTGGTGTACTATAGTAAAATTAGGAATTTGTCGCATTGCTGGAGTATGCCAATAAAGTGATAGAAAAACAATGAAGTACAGTAAGCCGAAAATTTCAGTCGAGTTATCCTCGTGCAAAGAAGAAACCGAAGAAGAGGAGGCTGATGTGGAAAGAGATTTGCCTACAAAAGGGACAAAACCCCGAAGACAACGCACGCATTTCACAAGTCATCAGGTTTTGTTTAAATAAAAAAAAAATATGATTAACAAAAAATAAAAATGACATTAGAAAAACCTTTTCTTTTTACGCATCTTTAACTTTAGTAAATTAGCTTTTCAGGTGATACGGTATCAAAGATTTTTCTGTGGTAAATGCTATATGGATTTTGACTTTTTTTGGTGTTAATTGAATATCTTATTAGTCATTTTATCAATTTGATTCAGCTGAACGAACTCGAGAGTTGGTTTCAACGAAATCGCTATCCCGATATGGCCACACGAGAGGAGATCGCCATTTGGATCAGTTTGACCGAGCCGAGAGTCAGGGTCAGTTCAGATATATGCACTGTACATGTATAACAAACATTAAAACATTAAAAATTAAAAGTGAAATTAAATGAGCGCGGTAATTTGGAAAGACAAAATGTCATTATCGAAAGAAAAGGGGGAAATGATGAGATTCTCTTTGCCCGTCCCTCCTTCCCCTCCTTCCCCTCCTTTCCCTCCTTTCCCTCCTTCCCCTCCTTTCCCTCCTTTCCCTCACATTCCATCAACCACGTAGTGACTAATTGGAATAACATCAAGAAATGATGGGAAATACCTATTTTGTGCTAGAATTTGTGCAAATCAAATCGAAAGTTTAGGTTTGGTTCAAGAATCGTCGAGCGAAATGGCGCAAACGTGAGCGCAACTATATGACCGATCCCAAAACCCTTCAGGTAAGAAAACCCTAGAAAGTTTTAGTATAAGTGATAAAGTGATTTTTTTAAGTCAAATCTGTTTTTTTTATGTTTGTTATGTCTCAACACCTTTTCTACAATGATCCTTTCATCTAGAATACGTTTATGGAAATGTATTAACTTTCGGAACTATCGTAATCCTATTTCTAGCTTTATTTGATCTATATTATCCAATTTTCGTATTTTTCGGTATTTTTTGTAAACCCTCATAGAATCATAAGAAAATTATGTTATGCTGGATGCTGGTTGGATAAAATCTGAAGCCAGGATTACGGTAACATTCGAAAATTGACACGTTATCGAAAACGCATTAGTTGAGAAGAAATTTTACTCTCTTTTAAAAGAATTTTGACTTCGGAACGCTTTTCACTTCAATATATGGTAACGATAAACGACCCTGAGGCTTTAGAGACGTTACTTTTTCTTTTCAAAATAAGACCTTTGTTTCTGAAAATGCAATTCCATTGAACGAAATATGCAGGCAAGCGCTTTACCTGGTTCAATGTGCTCCTCTTCATCGACGTCAATGTCTCTTCCCCCATCAATTCCATCAATGTCTTCCCTCGGCGGTCTCCATTCGGGACTTGGAAGTCTCGGAACGATTCAGGTGCACGGCAAATTTCATTCACTATTGATTTTCAGGTTCAGAAGAGCCAATGTAATTTGTCTTACCGAAATTATCGTATCTAAAAAATCAATTTCTAGGTTCAAGGCAGCTTCACCCAAACGTTGATCCCGCAACACCAGGTGAGCAAAAAAAAAACCCCAACCAAAAACCACTTCTCTAGATCGACTCATTCTATGGATATGGAGACTCCCCATGGCATCCCTATCAGCCTCGCCCCGGTGCAACCACATTCAATTGGAGTGTTAAAGGACAAGTAAGCAATCGAGTTACATTGAAATTTTAGGGTAAAGAAATGTCAAATCCTTCTTGCCAAATGCTCTAATTTATAGCTACAGGATAATGTTAAGAAAGCAAAATTTCCTTTTTGAAAGCAACCATCTCGTCTCGTCAATCTCGTCTCTAGTTTTATCCAATTTTTATGATACCTTTCGATTTTCTTTGCGAATATTCACAAAATTAGCCCCAAGTTGGCTGGCTAAAAAATAGATGCAAGATCACAGTAGTTTCAAAAATTGGCATGATTTTAAAAAATGCATTCGACAACTCACTTAAAACCATGAAGAGTTGCTTTTTTTTCCATTTTCACTATTATTTTGACAAGTCTAGATGAGAATGATATCAAAAAAATCAAAGCTGGCTTTCAATTCCCATCAATTCCCATCAATTCCCACCAATGACAGATCTAAATAAAGCGAAAGGCGGGTTGGCCATAAAAGGGTGCCTCCAATCCCCTCCCCTAGGTGTCACCATATGTTCTGTTTACATCTTCCTTTCCCCACACCAAATTTCCACATGATCGAGCAAATTGTCGCTTTTCCCTCTAAAACCGTTACGCAATGTCCATTCTGCCCCTCTTTTACACACACCGATCATTTCGCGCATCTTTTGCCCCAAATTTATGCTAATTTTTCAACCGAAATCCTTTTCAGATCAAATCTCAAAGGGGAAATTTCAGTGGAAAGTCATTGTTTTTATCTGGGTAATTCTAAAAGCAAAACCTTTGCTTACAAGAGAGTAAGAGTTTCGATTGAATGGGGAGCGTCTGTTGGAGGAGTCAGCTCTAAACAAAGAGGTGAACAAGGGGGGTGAAGAGACTAAAACGATCCATTTTTGGGTGCACGACCTCGGTGTAACCCGATATCGAGAATAGTTTATGTGACAAAAGCAACTATGAAGCAGATATTCTGGAATCTTTCTTGCGTATCGATGCGTATAGTGTCAAATAGAATTGTCTATCGTAATTCATTTACTATTCCGCACTAACTTTGACCGCTAAGCAAGAGTCTACCTTGTCCATTTACCTGAAAGATAACCTTTTTCAGTTTCCATCACCAACTCCACTCCCCGTTGTGCCCACAAGTTCAGTCTCATCGTCCACATCGAGTATTGACAAAAACCCAAAGCTGAACCTTGACAGCAGCTCTTATCTCAACTGTCCCTATTCTGGGCCTCTTTAATCCCATTTTCAATCTTATTCCTAAAATCTAGTCAATTTCATTCACCATTTTTTTCTACGTGCGCTCATTGTTGGCAAAAAATAAATAACTTTATAAAACTATAAAAATAAAAACAGATTTGACTTAAAACAATCACTTATCACATGGCTCATAAAAAACTTAACAAAAACAAAAAAGACAACAGCTTACAATAAGGCACATATCATAACGAACTCGATTTCATTCAGACGTTTAAAGCCAAAAGTGCGGCCTCGAGTGAATGGAGCTCTTTTTCGAGAGTTTCTTTCTAAAAGTAATTAACATGGTGCTATTTTTCAATGTCTGACTAACCTTTTCTTGATTGTTTGCCCGAACGCCAAGTGGGACTTTAGTTTCATAATCGGCCTTTGCTTGTAACTCGTTAATTTTAGCGATCTAAGCGTCGTCAAATTTATATACTCCTCCAAAAAGCCCTACCTGACCATCGAGCTTCCCTTTTTTGGATTCAAGTTTTGAACGCTCCTTTGCGATGTCGATAATGCCCTGAAATTAAACTTGTTTATTAAAGAAAATAACGAAAACCTCAAGTGGAATGTAAATATTGCAGATAGAGGTGGCATTTGATGAAGTGAGTGTCACACGAGAGCAACCTTTCTCTGGGGCTTTGTTTGATTTATCATCGGTCGCAAACATGGTTACCTAAGCTCATTTCAATATACAAACTAACCCCAAAAACTCACTTTTGATGAATAGGTCAACGTCAAAACAAGTGATTCCAACGTCTTCAAAGCATCCAGATCTTTTGTTGACAAGAAGCAAAGAATCACTAGAAAATGAGATATATAAAAAAGACCCAATGTCACTTACATTCTGTTTTGACTTTATTGATCAATTCATAATCAGATCGCAACGAGCGAACCTAAAATGTGTATTAAAAATCTTGCTTAAATCCAACCTGGCGAATGACGTCCATGGCAAAAGCGACACGAGTCTCAAGGGTCTTGTCAATAAATGGATACTAAAGCAACAATTATTCACTTCGATAACTGAAAATTAAACCTGAGCTGGCTCAGGATACTCTGCGATGACAATTGAGAGAGCTTTCTCGGAAGGCCTTTTCGGAAGTCGCTGCCATAGTTCTTCACTTATGAATGGCATCATTGGTGAAATAAGCCGAAGTCCAGTCTCAGCACAATGATAGAGAGTTCGACGAGCAGCAGCGGCAGCCTCCGCAGTGCCTAAAGAAAAATTTTTAGACAAGAAATTACGATTGATCTACCATGAAAGATGACTGGCTTGACTGATTCGAGGTACACATCACAAAAGTCGTAAAGCCAAAAGTTGTAAACAGCAGTAGTAGCCTAAATTTTGCACTAATCTAGCTAATTAAAAGCCATTTACTTTGTAAGGATATCTTAAAGTACCTGAGTGAAATTGTTCGTGACCATTCCTTGTTCACACATGGCCACAGTTTGAGCACATCGAGAAAGGATCCACAAATCGGTTTCCGATTCTGTTCCTGTGAGCTAAAAGCTTTTAACGTAGAGGACTAAACTTGGCAACAGTACTTTGAAAATTGCTTCTGGTTGATACTCCTTTCCAAGTTGAAACAAGGTAAACTTGATGGCTTGCCAAATCTGAAAAAGAGCAGTTATAAGTCGAGATCAACTAATTTTATTAACCTTGTTACAGAAGAAGCGGTATCCTTGAACACGTAAAACATCAAGATTGATATCGCGACCCTGGCTCGTATAGGCCATTAAAGCAAATCGAAGCGCATCGGTTCCGCATTCGGGAATTCCCTGAAACACATCATATGAATCTTGAATGCACTTTGAAGAGTTACCTGTGGATAATCCCGTGACTGGCCCGCTTTAGCCGTAGCAATTTCTTTTGGATCCAAATTGCCCGAGTCAAGTTGTCGTTGAAGCTCTTCCAGAGTAATCTAAAACATTCTTTATCACAAATACTTTTAAAAGGAAATGGTTTAAATCAAAAATATTTTAAGATAATACCCCTCGAATGACATCTCGTGGATCGATTACATTTCCAAGTGATTTACTCATCTTTCTACCATGCGCATCTCGAATCATAGCATGCAAATAAACCTGTAACATTTGAATACCAAACTATTTAATTATACTTTACCTCTTTGAATGGGATTTTCCCGGTGAGCTCTTGTGCCATGAACACCATTCTCGCGACCCAGAAAAATAAGATGTCGTGTCCCGTTTCGAGAATCGCTCCAGGGAAAAATGCATTGAGATCGCCTAAATGAAAATTGTAAAATGCAACAGATGAATCCAACCAGTATTTTCAGGCCAACCGAAGATTGCAAAAGGCCACATTCCCGCGGAAAACCAAGTGTCAAGCACGTCCTCATCTACAAATATTGTTTTTGAAATTTAGAGAAACGATTATGTTACCCCATTTCAATCCAATAAATTTCGGATCAACTCCGAACTTCTTTGCCGCTTTCTCGCGCGCCTCATCTTCTGTGTGAGCAGAAATCCAATATTTGTTATCGGCTGGATCTCCGGCTGGCGTTTTTCCATCCTATCAATATGTTAGTTGTTATTCAGATAAAATCAATACCGTAACAGTGATGAAATATGCCGGGATTCGATGACCCCACCAGAGTTGTCTCGAAATACACCAATCGCGACTGCTCTGAAGCCATCTATTCCAAGTTGCAACGTGGAAGTCTGGTGTGATTTTTAGCTCTCCCTAAACTTACTAAAATAATTTTCATGAACCACAAAAAACCTGCTCTACAGCCTCAATAGCTCGGCGAGCCATTTCGTCACATTTCACATACCATTGCGGCTTTAAAATTGGCTCGATTATGTCTTTGGAACGGCTAAACAAATTTAGGGGGAAAAATAAAGTGACGCTTCACCTGCAAATAGGGACAACCATAGGATTGTCTTTCTTTTCCCTGTAAAGACCAAGCTTCTCCAAAGCATCCAAAACTTCTTTTCGGCAATCGAATCGCTTCATACCAGCAAATTGACCGCAATCCTATCAACAAAAATTTCTAACTATAGCACAATATAGCTTACCTTCGTCATAAAGCCGTCGTCGGTGATGCATGTAATAAAGGGAAGCTTGTGCCGTAGTCCAACCTGTACAAACCGATAGTGTGTTTTTATTCAATTTTCAACCTCGTAATCGTTAGGGTCATGCGCAGGAGTTATTTTCACAGCTCCTGTCCCAAACTCACGATCCACGAATTCATCCCCAACAATCGGCAGTTCTCTTTTAACAAAGGGGTGTTGGCACATCTAAACATCGAAATTGAAAAAAGTGACCTACTCAAAGACCTTTCCAATCAAATGTTTATATCTCGGATCCTCTGGGTGTACAGCAACGGCAGTATCACCAAGCATAGTTTCCGGCCTTGTTGTTGCAACGACGAGTTCTTGATCTGCAAAATCGGGGTTTCACAATTATTTAAATCAATCACCTGAATCTTTGACTTTGTATGCAAAAGAAATAATGACACCAAACTCGATCTTCTCCGCGTAACCTGGGACAGGCAAAAGCGTTTTTCCAGGCAATTCCTTCTTGTCGACCTGTCAAGAGTTTGTTAATAAAATGATACCAAGTTTACTTCAATATCCGAAATAGCAGAAAGTAGAGTACAACTCCAATTTACAAGCCTTGTTGAACGATAAATAGTTCCGCTCTCGTGCATTCGAATAAACGCCTCTGTTACGGCACGCATGATTTTCTACAAGAAATGAGTAAAATAATGATGCTGATACATACTGGGTCCATCATGAAAACGGCTCGATCCCAGTCGACAGAGGCACCCATATCGCGCAGCTGGTCATAGATGATATGTCCTTTCCTAAACTCGGAATATCAACCAGATAATACCAAAACCCTACTCATTCTTCCATTGCCAAACTTCCTCGATAAACTTTTCTCGGCCAAGATCGTGTCTCGATAGACCCTTTTCTCGTTGAAGTCGCTTTTCTACGACTACCTATACAACTAAAAGTGAAAATCCAGTAAATCAATCGAATACTTGGGTTGCAATTCCAGCGTGGTCACAACCCGGGTTAAATAAAGTGGTCTTTCCTTTCATACGGTTCCTGAATGAAAAGTTTTGCTTTGTAATGGCGTTTTTTTTTACCATCTAGTGAGAGTGTCTTCAACCGAGGTGGCAAGCGCGTGTCCAACGTGAAGTGTACCGGTAACGTTTGGTGGTGGGATACAAATGGTGAAAGATCCTTTTGGATTCTCTTTGCTCAAATCGCGACCACCATATTCGGGACGAAAAAATCCCTAAATTGACCAAATTTGGTGAAAACTTCAAAAAGCCAACTTCAGCCTCCCACCATTCATACCAGGCAGCCTCTACATAACGAGGAGCGTAGGCAGACGGCATTTCACCGGACACGTCTAAAACTCACAATTGAAGCGTGTCAAAATTGCGCAAACTACCTTTCTTCTCTCCAGGCTTTGTGGTCGCAGAATAAATAACTTCGACGATTTCCTTTTCTTTTTTGGGAGCCTTCTCCTTTGTTTCGCCGCTTTCTTTGGCTGTAGCTACGACTTGTCTTTTCTGGACCTTCTCCTAAATTTAATCAAGTTCACCATACAATCTGTGCAATTTACCTCAAATTTGGCCAGCTTAGCAGCTTTTGCCGCTTCTTTCTTGAGCTCCTTTTCCGTCTTAGGCTTTGGATTGTCCCCCATTGTCAACCCGTCGAGTCGATCTCAACTAAAAGAAAAAAAAAACATATTGCGCTAACCGTAAAAAAATAAGCAAAGCAGCAAAATCAGGGTAAAGCAAAGATTGGTAAAACTCAAAACAAAGCCAAATTACGACAGTTATCTACGGAAGACTTCTTTAAATACTCTGACTCGCAATGATTAAATTCGACGCTAGCTTTCCAAATGTTGCATCACTACTTTTTTTTACGTATAACTAACCCTATAAAGTGAAAAAATAACGCTTTGAAAATATAAAAAACTACGTTGGAATACTTCTGACGGACCCAAATCTCACAGAGTGACCGCTTTTTGAGTGACACCTCCGGTTAAATTTCAATTTCAGAAGATCTCTTCGGAAATTCAATGAATCTCGAATATTATGCAATCAATATCACGTACCTAATTCATAAAAATAGAATAAACCTTTATTACCCCTTATTAACTTGCAAAAAATCACCAAATGCAAAAGTAAAACATAATTATCTAAGAACCGTAAATAAAAATCTCAAATATATTCTAGCAATACTATTCACAAAACTATTGTTTCTTTTTCTTTTCCTCCTTCTTGAAGAATGCATCATCAAAACAGGCAGTTCCTCCGAAAACGAGAGCAGCACCAAACCAATGCATTGGTGTGAACGGATTCTAAAGAGAAACTTTGTAACGCTTTCTTTGAAACATACACATTTGAAACAGACCTCGTATAGTACAATCGAGACGATGAGTGAAAGAAACTTTCGCAAAGTTACAACAAGTGTCACAGTGAGTGCTTCCACGGTAGCGTTCAAATTATACACGAAACGAATACACAGATATCTAAAGTCTTTTCTTTTCAAAACAATTAAATTGAATTCATAACTTACTGTAAAATACAAGCTATCCCAAGTAGCACCCAGAATTTTGGGATATTCAGCGAGAAATCGCCAAATGAAAAAGGAGCACTCGCATTAAAAGCCGTAATAGATCTTTGAATATCACTCCACATAAACGCGAAGAAAGGCAACGAATAGAAATGCTAAGATTTAGGTTATCAATACTAATTTATAATAAACAAACCGTGACGAACATTGCTTCATCCGGATGTTTTCCATAGGTCTGATACATTTCTTGTTGCTTAATGGCTAAGAAGGCCGACGCGAAAAGAGCAAAAACGAGCATAGAAATTCCTTAAAGTCGTGAACATCATTTTTGGAAAATGGATGTACCTATCGTCCATTCACGATAATGTTGCGATGCCTCCTCATAAGATAAACCACTTGGCTTAATATTAAAGGTAAAATTTTCAAAACAATAAAGCTCACATCACTCGAGCTTGTGGCAAGCGTGCAAATAATGATCCCAATAGTGATGGCGAACACCGATAGATATTTTCTTGTTCCATAACGTCTTCCTCGCCATGCGACTTCAAGTAACAAGCTTGCAAGTAGTGACCCCTAAAAATTTACAACAATTAAAAATACGAGTTAGACTTACCGAACGAAAAATTATATGCAGTGGTACAGGAATGTGGAAATTTAGGGCTTGATTGTTGATGACGTTCACGGTGAAAAATATGGTGATAACCCAGAGATAACCACTAAACAACCAAATTACTATTTCCTTTCATTCAAAAATCCTTACCGAAATGGTATTTTGTTGGGAACTGTGAAAAATTTCTTTGTTGTAACAAGTCCAACCAAAGAAATTGTCACAAAAGTCGCAAACGTCATCAAATTCATAGCACTTGGATCTTCTCTAAAAAGATTTGGCTTGAGTGCACTTTATCCCCTACTATTTTTGTTCAAAAATCACTTTTTCTGGGGTAATTCAGTGCGCTGATTACAAAAACAACATCACAATTGTCGGAAATGCATTTTTTGCAAGAAATTTTTATATAAAAAGTACACTGCAGGCGCTCCCCCAGCTACCTTTTTAACAAAATTTGTGTACCTTAATCAATTTGCATACATTTTTCAAAAAAATAAAATTTTCTAAAAACGTTCGAAAACACTTCTAACCTTTAGAAAGAGCATAGTTATGCATTACACGTTACCCGCGTGATGGATAATTGCGACGCCCATGCTAGCCCGTGATGCGCGGCCGGGAAGTGACCTGCGTCACACCGTTTTTTTTTATTGGCCCACCGCAGGTGCTCTGAGAAACCACGTGATGCACCATCCCCGGACCACTTTCTTACATCTGGGGGAACGTAAGCTACTAAGGGTTAGAGATGTTTCCGAATGTTCTTAGAAAATTTTATTTTTTGAAAAATTTTACTTGGGGAACCAAGGCAAAAAACCAAAAATTTCTTGCAAAAAATACATTTCCGACAATTCTGATGTTGTTTTTTGTAATCAGCGCACTGAATTACCCCAGAAAAAGTGGTTTTGGAACAAAAATAGTGGGGGATAAAGTGCACCGTTACCAAAGTTTTAAGTAGTTTCACTATAGCTTCTTACTTCGCTATTCCTTCAACGGCAACCATGCATCCCATGCAGCTACCAAGCACCCCAAAGACATCGAAAGCCGCCGACATTTCTAAATTGAAATAAATACAGCTGATTAGTCAAACAATTTGGGTTTCAGGGTAAAAAGAATACTATGTGGGAGAAAATCACTAAACCATCCAAGGACTGCCGATAAGAAAGGTCATTCTTTTTCACGTGTGTTCAACCGGGGGAAAGAGGTGGCTAAGAATCCAGAGAGTGCGGGGAGTCGAAGCAAATAGAAACCAAGGACAAATGAATAAGGTTTGTGGGAACAAAATATGTTACACAAACTCAAACACTTCCTCCAGTTCTCACCATTCTTCTATTTTCAATCTCTGATGTCGCTTTCAATAAATGAGTGCTTCCGTAAACAAAATTATGATAATTACAAGTATCGGATCGGTTCAAAAACGTCGGTGCAAAAAACTGGCCAACTCTTCATGAAAATTTATTTCTAACTCAATGTAAAAATTAAAGCAAAAAGGACAAATAAAATATCTTTTTTATACAAGTAACTAACGACAAGCAATTGTAAAATGACAAACGACAAAGTTGACTCATGCAATTCTTTGACCCTCATGAAATCTACCAAATATTCACAAACCAGAAAACAAATCACACATTCTTAAAAAAAATAAGCTAACAAGCGTTTAGCTTTGAGAAAGCTTATTCGATACTGCCTAAATCACAGACTACATTCTCAAATTGATTCATAATTGGAGCCTTTGGTGCATTTCGCATTTCACCGATGTCAAAATTTCGTAATCCATTTGGATGGAAAAGTGCTTCGGTTATCTAAAAGGACTATAAAAAGTCAACATTTAGCGACAAAACTTGTTTCCATTTTCGAAAAGTGCGCGCTTTCTTTTCTCCCTTTTCTTCCCAAGTAAATTTCAGTTCTAAAAGAGACTTTTAAAAAGAATCACAAATTAAACAAAAACCATCTGCTGTTAATATCGGAATTGGAGCATTCTTGATGTTCAAGATTCGCCCGAGCGCCTTAGAGCAGCTTGAGCCAGAAACTTCCCCACGACAGAATATCTAAAAGTTTTCTTGATAAATGTTCAAGGCAGAATAACTCACAACGCCAATTCCTTCGTAGATGTTTTTGCTAACTGTGATACGTTTATAGAACACCTTTTCCCAAAAATCCCCTGAAGTCACACAGTACTGAGATTTTGCCACCTGTTAAAAAATCTATTAAGCTAGAAAGAGTTTGACAACCTTCACATCAGAAGATTTACACAAAAATGAAGAACATATTCTGTAAATATGCGGTAAATAATTATTGCAATAACAAACTGACTTGCACTCGACGTCATAATCGATCCCACTTTCCTTCAACCGTTTCTTCTTTTCACCTCTCTCGGCATCTTTTCTCTGGATTTCTTCATAAATTTCGCGCACTTCATCATTGACCTAAAAATCTTCAATTTATATGTTTTGTATCCGATTTGGATTGAGCTCACCGCGGATATCCGATTTGGATTGAGCTCACCGCGGATATCCGATTTGGATTGCAGCATTATTGCACAGTAAGGTATCATGTTTTAATCATTTTCTAGAACTTTCATAGAAGTTTAACTCTGGCAACCTAGAACAGCCCGTTAACACCACATTTTGCTAAAAAAGGCTTTCCTGCATTTTACTGTGACTTCAAAGCAACCTGCCCCCCTTTTTTTTTAATCAGCAGCAACCTTATCGTAAATACAAAGAATCATAAACAATAAAATAACTGATTAAGTTGGCAAATTGATGAAGCTAAATCTTAAACAAACGATAAAAACAATGTAACTAAACAAAAACATGGAAAACAAAACCTATTCGTTCTTGCAACTAAGGCTGTGCTAGCATCTGGAATTGAAGAGAAGACCATTTTTCTTGCAGGCACATCGAATTGACGAACATCCAGCGGTACAGAAGCTGTGTCTGTGACATATACGTGTTCATCAGTTAACCAAATAAAAGTTAAAAATACCTTGCTTCTTGCGAACTGAAGATTCGCCAACAGCAGCACAAAAAGAAGTCGTTCGATCAGGAACATCAGCGGTAGCAATGAATTCCGTTTCACAAAGATGGAGCTGATTTCGTAAAAACATTTGCGGCAGGACGCCATTTGTAGTTTCGATCGAGTAGAGGTCATCGACTACTAAAAACCAGTTAAAGAATTATTAAGCTAACCTTCCGTGACGGCACCCAAAAGATTGTGCTATCCAATTTTTGGACGATCGACCGGATCAATGGCAATCCGCATATTGTCTCCCATATTTAGAGGTTGAAATCTGCAGAGAATGTCGAAGAGTCGAAGAGAAGAGAATTACTCGTTGCCTTGTTCGTTGCCGGCTTTCCGTCATTTGTCTTCGTGATAAAGAGTGAGTCCCGTGTTTTCGATTGAAAGAGTGTATCGCTTCAGCAGGTTGGCTTCGTGATAGCGCATTTTGGAAGTATCCAGCGTTGAATCGTTCGAATTGTTAATTTTATCTACCATCAGCTTGTAGATTTCGAATGTTGGCTCGCCTTTTTTCGCTCCAAGAGGTCGTTAAATTTCTCGTAGAAGCGTGACTCCATCTGTAAAAAACCAACAGAAAATATGCGCAAACAGCATAAAAACATAAACAAAATGCAAAAACATATCAAAACACGTAAAGAAACCAATTTTTCGGCAAAATGTGGTGCTAACGGGCTGTTCTCGGTTGCCAAAGTTAAACTTCTATGAAATTTCTAGAAAATTATTAAAACATTTAAAAAACATGATACCCTACTGTGCAATAATGCTGCAATCCAAATCGGATATCTGCGGTGAGCTCAATCCAAATCGGATACGATATATGCAATAAAATTTAACCGCTAACCTTTGATTTCAAAGAAAAACTCCCAGTAAAAAGCAAATCCATAACTTCTTTCATAAGTCGCTCCTTCTATAAAGATATTAATATAGTAATAGTTAGGGTTTCCCCACTTGATTATTCGCTTCCTCTCGTTTAATAAGCTTCTCATCAAAGGTCAACAGAACACAGCGAGAATTTTTCGCTCGAGCCCGACCTGAACATCGAGTAACGTAATAAATGGTGGTTGTTTTCCAAAACCTCTACGTTGAACCCCAGCGATCTCATTCGTGACATGGCTATACTTGATGACTAAATTGCATTTGGCAATATCCAGTCCTTCTTCGGCCACAGAAGTTGCAATCAAGCATTTCGTTTCACCGTTTTCAAATCTAAAACTTTAACTAAAATAGCATTTTTAACTGTCTTTACCTCGCTAATTTATCGGCTTGTTTTTGTTTTGATGTCGACTCAGCGTCTGACTTGGCGTTTAGCCCTAAAGAAAAACAGTGGAGACATTTAGTTCCGAAATTTTACATACCAGTAATGTATTCCGATTTCATTTGCTTTTCCTTGATCCGCTGATTTTGGTTTAGTATTTTATTGAGAATGCTCGCAAAACGCAAAAATTTTACAGTCATGATTAATTATAAAAAGTACTTACTCGAGTTTTGATAAAAATAATGGCTCGGAAATCTTCGTCGGACTTTGGTTCGCAGAGCAAGCTAAATCATTTTATGTACAAATCCATTCCTGGTTTGAATCACTAACCTGACTAGATCATTCACCAAAGCACATTCAGCACTAGCAAGCTCTTGCAGTTTTCCTTGTAATACTAAAGAATATGATTTAAACAAAAAAGGCCACCAAACATTGCCACAGTGTTACAGCGTGTGGATCTATCTTTTGGAAGTTTTCATTCGAAAAATACTGTTGCAGTTCATCCAGAGTGTAGTTAGTGGGAAAAAGCGACGCCATTTGAAGACCATCAAAAAGCTTCTAAACACTTATATTCCCAGATAATAAGTACTTTTCAACTTACTTGCAGAACTTCCATTTTCTTGAGAATCTTAGCCTTTGTCAACTCAGATAGCTTTGAATCTTCGGGGACCAGCCTTCGCATCGCATTGGAAAGCCAGTGTTCGTATGCTAAATCGAAGTTGCGTACTTTGAAACTAAAAATTACTAACCTTCTCCTTTCTCAGTTGGAGGTTTTGATAGCACTTCAGGATTGGCAAATTTTGAATAACCAAAATCATCAGTTAGGTTCCGAAAAAAATGATACTCAGGTAATTTATGGGTGCTTTCTAAATAAATTATAGAAAGTTCACAAATAAAAGCACTAACCAATCAATTTTAAGATGTCTTTTTCTAAAGCAAACATAAGATCTATAAGCGCATTAATGAAGAGTCCTTGGTTTTCGTCGACTGAGATCGACTTCCAACATTCTAAATACAAACGTAATACATGATCTCGGGAATCCTACCATCTGTTGTAGGCGTAGAATAGCGATCTAGATCATCGTGATTGTTCCGAACCATTGAAAGAGTCGGGGAATCAAGTAGTGCGCACATCTAGAAAGTGAGCAGGTAAAGGAGCAAGTATTGGACGGACAAACGCATATCTACTTTTGAAAAAAAAAACAACCGAAATGACATATTTAAGCGCTTGTTCCCTGTCTTTCGAGTTACCAACTCCAATCGAAGCCGTTAACCCAATGATCTAAATAGGCCTTTTATATGTTTAGAATATGTGTTAACTTGTGGTAGTTCCTCTTTGCCGGTTTTTGCCGCAAATTTATCCCGGTGATATTGCTGCATAATGTCTAAACTATTCAACTCGAAACCCAAAAGCACAAACTTACTACTGTATGGAGAATTTTTTCGCGTTCCGTGCACTTCGTCAAAAACGATCATACCAAAGGTCGACAAATGAAAGGGCTTTTTTGGAAATTCGATATCACCATAAGAATCGTCATTTTTTAACAAGTTACTAAAAACAGATAAAGGTTAAAATAAATAATCAATACTAACACGATCATTTGTGGAGTCGTAAATATAACGTCGTTATCTTCAATTGCTCCTTCTAACGGGGTTTGATCCGCCCCACAAGTCGTAATTATCTTAAAACAAAAACATATAATAAGCTTTACAACTTTGATCTACTTTGTAAGCATGTTGCAGATATTTCCTCATAGCGTTTGCCTGTTGATCCAAAATACATGTAGTTGGAGTTAAGAAAAGAACCTAGAATACTTTTGAAAAATAGCAATGGCTGTCGAGTTACCTTTCTAAGCGGTTGGTTTGATTTCCTATTAAGGCTTTGACTTTTGAGATATTCTTTAATTATGTGGGCCGCGACTATTGTTTTTCCAGATCCAGTCGGAGCACAAATGATCTAAACGTTTGCTTGCAAGTAATGTTTATCAACGACCGTTCTCACTGTGTTTTCTCCTTCCAATGCGTTGCCACACAATTCTTTTTTGATACTCACGCAAATGAATGGGTTCTTCTGAAAACAGTTCATACCTATTTAGATAGTAATTCGCACCTTTGCTGATGTGCAACTCCAATGCTTGCATTAATTTTCTCATGGGCCCATTTTTGAGTTCACTCAACGAATCCCATCTTAAATTGAAAGAGAATGGTGTTTTTGATTTATCCTTTGCTGCTTGAATTTTTTTCCATGGCATCCTTGATTGAATCAGAAGTATCAATAAACTAAATCAGGCAATGCTATTTGATGCATAAATAAACCTGTATTATCGAAGAACTGTTTATTCGATCTTCACAAAGTAGCTCTGAAGTTTTTATACATCTAATGGGGTTTTAACTGATTTACCATATCTTCTTAAGAAGTTTGGTACAATTTTCTCAATGAAAGCGTTCACATCCGCATTGCCATCATACATAGCTCTGAAAGATTTTTTAAAACAAACATTTGATTAATGTTTCCAAGTACCAATTATGCTATATGTACTGTAACCAAAATCAATGTAAACTACTGAATACCAACTTCAAGATATCGAAGAACGATTCTGAACCAAGCCGTGGAATTGTCCTTAACAAAATCTTTTTCTTTGTCGCTGGATCTTCTTCTAAAAACAGACTTGCTTTAAAAAATTGCATTTCAAACCTTGAATATCTTGTGCAATCAATTCGACCACTTTTTCATAAGGTTCTATGGTCTTGAGAAAGTCGAGAACTTTATCAACATCAACGAAGCGCATCAACTTTTCATAATGAATCAAAACCTAACGAAACACTTCGTTGACTTAAAAGTATGATTTACTTGTTGGAAATAACTCCTCCGTTCTTTTTCCCTCGTGGTGAGATTCAATAAAGCATGAAGATCCAAACTTTCTAAACCCAAGCATAAAACAAGCTCAAAATTTGCAACCTTCGGCCTTCAGATTGCAACCTTCGGCCAGAAAATTCAGCAAGGTCACGTATATGGCACCCTTAAAAAAAATTTGATAAAATGACTTTAATTTGCACCTTCATCGGAGAAAGCATCAACTCATCCCATAGCTTTCCTGCAAACAATTTTTCGTCGTCAAATTTCAAACGCAACTCATCGATGCGTTTTGCCGAAGGGAGCAACTCCTTGAAATCCAAAAATATCTAACCAATTTACGCTAGTCAACCTTAAAAAATTTCCCGAGATCAGAATTCCAATAAATAGCCTGTAATCGAGCTATAATTTCTCGTTTATAAAGATCCAATAACGCTAGTTCTTGCGATGATGTTAAACCCGTCATCTAAAAAACATGAAAAATACCGTATTAAACCAATGCAATTTCTAATAGTGATCCTTTATCGCCGAAGGTCCTTTTCACTTTAACGATTAGGAGCAATCAAATTTATTTCTCGTGACATAGCAAAAAACTTGAATGAGATCTTATATAGATCATGTGAAAGGAAACAACAAACAACAAAAGTTAATTTATGACAAACAAATACAAAAGCAGATGTAAACGCAGAATATCTCAAGCATGGGCAGAAATAAATTTGTGGTCAATCTATCCGTGAGTTGCATCGTCTTCAACCTAAAAATCAATGCGTTTACCACAATTGCATGAGAACTTACAAAATCATATGCTTTATCTCTAGGCACGGAGTCGATATGGGACACCTAAAGATTTTGCGAGTAAGTACACATGTACGCCTTTAATACCTTGCTTCGGAAGATTACACCGAAGTACTTTTCAGCCGAGGCAAGTAATTCTGGACGGAAAGTGGTTGTGATAAACTGGGCGTTCTCAGACAACTCGTGGATCATATCTAAATCCATGACGCAAACAGCCAAACAGAATTACCTACCTGCAACAGCTTTACGGTGCATCGGATCCAATGCAGCATCAATCTCATCGAACAGATAAAATGGAGCAGGGTCACACTGAAAGAAAACGGTAAGTGCAAAATTTAGTTTAATATACTTTTTGAATTGCAAAAATCATGGCCAGTGCCACCAATGTCTTTTGACCCCCAGAAAGTTGTTGCATTTCCCGTGTTTCCGCGTCTGATGTGAATGAAATCTAAAACAAGCGTAAGAACATTCAACCGTAGGCTACAGTCTTACTCTGATGCTAACTCCTGTAAAGTTTTCTACTGTGCTCTTTTGTCGATCAGCTTCATCAGTTTCTTGGCTCTGAGATGAGCCACGATCCTCCTGAATTTTTCTTTGAAACAATAATTTACAAAAAAATACATTCATTTGCATGACAAGGTCTCCTCTTCCTCCTGGAACTAATTTTGAGAAGACATCTTTAAAGTTCTTGGACACCTGAAGCTTGCAACAATTTAAAATAGTGCTGAAAAAAAATACCTGTTTAAAAGTAAATAAGATTGCTTCATATTTCCTGTTCTCCAGCACATCCAATAAGTTCTCAATCGCCTTTTCATTTTTGCGTTGTTCTTCCATTCGCTTTGTCAGATCTTCTTTCTGAGATGACGCTTGTACAAATTGATCCAAAGCCTTAAACTTTATGTTTTTCTTAACTTAACCGAATTTCAAACCTTCTTGTTCACATTTTCGTACTTCTTCAGTTCGTTAAGTGCTTCACTAAGCTTCTTATCCAATTGCTTTGAAGTCAAGTTTTGGTATTTGCTGAAAGCTTCAGTAGGTAGCGAACCCAAGTCCCGAATCTTAAGTTTAAATGATAAAATGATTTTTGATAAATGAAGTTCGTGTACCTTTTTAACACTTTCTTCGCGTTTAGTGTAAAGTGTGCTTTGCTTAGTGAAAATCATTTCCACTTGTTTCGAGAACTCCGCCATTTGTTGCTCAAGGTCCTTCTGTTGTTCTTGAACGTCATCAATTTCCCGCGTCAACTTTTCGGCTGCCTCTTCATACTCTTTCAAATCGCGGTCCAATTCATCAATGATTCGATTGATCTCCTGAACATCGAGTTATGTCTTCGAATACTTTACTTTACGTGTCTAACCATTTCGAATAAACGGGCAAATACTCACTGTTTGACGGGAAATCACACTTGCTAATTCCGAGTTGTCGTTTTCGAGATTGTGTCGCTTCTCGTCAACGGATATGTCGCCAACTTTCTACAAAAATAAGATTACATCGAACAATCAAACGACTAACCGAGCTTAGATTGTCGCGTTTGCGAACAAGATTTGTTTGAAGCAAGTTTTCAATTCTTGCTTTTTTCGCTTCCATGTCGACACGGTCGTGAGTCACCTTCTCCAGTTGAACACGCAGAGTTTTGGATTGGTTCTAATAGACATGGTAACCGGTTCAGTTTTGGAACCGATTTTAAACCGAACCGAAAACGTTAAAAACAAGCTTTTTTGAGATTGATAAAAATCGCTGCAAAATTAGTAATTTTCAGCTTAACGAATAAAGTAGTTCCCTAAAGCGTGGCATAATTACCACAACCTCACTATGCGATTACAGTTAGAAACCGGACCAAAATCGAATCGATTTTGAACTGGTTACCATGTCTAGGTTTTAAAGTATATTTGGAACAATTGATGAATTTGGTAAAACTATAAAGCAATCAAAGTTAATAAAAAAACCTGAAATCCATCCATCTGTTTCTGCTCGTCACCAGTCAATTGACTTTGCATTGGTTGCTCGAGCTCTGACGAAATGGTTGCTTTCTTATCTTGCAGTTCGCGAATGCGATTCTTTAGCACCAGAAGTTGGCTTTTCTAAACACGGGCTTTCAACATGTATCTTAAAAAGCAAACTTTCTGATCGGTATTTCGAGTGTTGCTTCCCAATTGTTCATTAGCAAACTTGCGTCGCTCGCTCAAATCACGATGTTGGTCCTTTAAGCGCCGAAGATCCAATTCCACTTTTTCCATTTCCATTCGAATTTTCTCTACTTCCTGTTGCTTGTGGGTGACATTTCGCGTCAGCTTTTCCAACTCGACCTGAAAAAAAGAATGTATCCGCCAAATTGAAAGTCAAACTGAAGCATCTTCCAATTGCTGCTTCATCTCTTTGATGGAATTGAAAATCTCAAGTTTTGACTTCTTACGATCGATATATCCTCCAGTCAGAGCACCTCGGCGTGAAATCTAAAATCTTTATCCATGAAGCCCAGATATTAAAAGCTGCCTGATCTCCTTCAAGGGTCACTGCATCGAATCCCTCGTTTTTTGCCATTCTCTGACCCACTTGCATCGTGCGCACAATGACTAAAGGTTTTAAAATTGATATAACTCGAGCAACAAACCTGTTGCTGCAAAAACTTGGCGAAAAGCCGTTTCGAACTTTGAATCGTAATTCAGGCAGTCAATCATTGGGCGTGCGTCCTAAACTTGCTACCTAATAAAATATGTAACGCATAAACAAACTGGGTCATTTGTGCTTCGTCTATGCGGGCTGGTCAGGCGCAAAAGTGGAAAGAAATCAATCGTTCCGGGCAAGTTCATATAATTTATCTAAAATCAAACAATTTTAAAAAAGGTATGTAAAAAATCGTACCTTATTCAAAATTTTCATAGCAACACGATCATCGGACACTACGTGATAAAAGAGTCTTCCAGCAGCGGTGACTTCAATGGCCTAAATTTGCCTACCTAATCACTTTATAAAATAAAAATAAACCTGATAATAGACCGGATCGCATTCGATTAGTTCAATCAAAGTACCTAAAAGCTTTATTAAGAAAAAAAAAGAAAAAATATAAACCATAATATCCGTTAGTAACATCATCGTATTTGCCATTAGTGTTATTTTCGCGAAACCATTGTAAAACTTTTCGGACGCTTTCCATCCCATTCACAGCTGGCTAAAAAGAAATGATTAAACATGGTGACAAAAAATTTCACTTTGTTGGTCAATCCTCGTAACGTATTCTCCTGATGTTGCAAATCAGCTTTCAATTGATCCACATGTTCGCGTTTCTCTCGCTCAGCTCTTCCGGACTCCCTAAAAGTATTGAGCTAGAGGTGGATGAAGCTAGCAAACAAATGAGCGTAGACAGCCTTATCAAAGTCTTTCCGAAGCCGAGCATAAGCGGTGTTGGTCGTCTCTAATTCACTGATTGTATCCTCAAGTTGCAAACCAATATTCTAAATTAAATCAGTTAAAGTAATAAAAAACTCAAATACTCACTCTAATTTGATCGTTGACTCCTTGTTCATCACTTGCTTCTTCTTCTAGGCTACGTTCAATCGTTTGCATTTGCTCTTCAGTATCTCGTAGCTGGGACCTCACGAAGCGAATTTCTTTTTTCAAAAAGTCGTCTCTTTCAGCGACCGACTTAAATTGATGACCATGACCTTAAAAGAGTAAAATAAGTGTCCTACATCGGTATAAAACCTTGCTTTAAGAGTAATTCCTTCAAACGATTTTCTGCAATTCGAACATCCGACTTCAGGCGTTCTTCAGATTCAAGCAATTTCTAGACATACTTTTAAAAGTGCCCAAAACACCTTTACCTCATAAGCGGGAACAATCGACTCAAGTTCTTCTTGTTTTTCGGCAATTTCAGCTTTCAGTTTTTCTAGTTCACCCTCTGCTCTTGATCGACCAGAACGTTCTTTTTCCACGTCTTCTTTCAGATCTACAGCACAAAAATTTGCTCAGAAAAACAAACAAGCAAACCCTTGATTTTGAGCTCTAATGCTGTTCGCTTTTCAAAAAGCTGAGCGCGTTCTTGTAGCAGAGACTCCTAAATAAAAAAAAGTTGACTTTACAGTGACAGATCTTTACCTTTTCTTCCTTCATCCCTTTGAAACGTGATTCGAGTTTGCGCTGCTCCCCAGAAGCTTTCATTCCACGACTTTGCACATCCATCAGATCGGAGCTAACCTAATTAAGAAAATTATCACACTAAAGATCTGCTGCGTCGACATATGACTAGTTGTAATAAACTTCGTCGTTTTGATCTACCTTATTTTGCCGTTGATTCAAATCTTCCCTTTGTTCAGCAAGATGATCCAGTTTTTTTCGTGCTTCTCGAATTTCAACATCGTACATGGTATATTCGATGGATCTAAAAACAAAATGTTAAATTAAATCACATAAAAGAGTCACCTTTTCTGTTTGTCCCACTTTTGGTACTCTTTCAAATCTTCTTTCTCCGATTCCAATGTATTCAATCGCTCATCGATGTAGTTTAAAAGGTCCTCAATCTTCTTGACTTTTGAACCTAAATATATCAATCAGTGATTAAAATCTCAATCATACTTGTTTCTTTGAGAATCTTTAAGCTTTCTTCTTTTCGTTCATCATAAACCCGAGTACCAGCCACCTAAATACGTTTAACTTCTTGTTGATTTTATTTCTTCACCTCTTTCAAAAGCTTTAAGCGTTGTGCGTCAGGTGCCGTTGCAAGTTCATTAATTTTTCCTTGTTTGACGATGTAGTACGGGTTTGAACGTGAGAATCCAGCTGACTCCATGAGATTGACCACCTAAAATTGTTGATAATAAGCATGACAAAATAAATAAACTTCAGCTCTCGGCACAAGCTTTCCATCAATATAGTACTGGTCCTTCTTTTGTGCAATTTGCCTTACGACTCGAACTTCGTTTGTTTCAATCTAGAAAGAAAAATACTTTGCGATAAAAACAAAACTCACAGCTGGAATTCGGCGATCCGAGTTGTCAAAGACGATTTCCACTCGTGCGCTTGAAATTCGTGGTCCAGTTCCTTCATGAATAACACTCATTCGTTGCTCTGGGCGTAGATGTGCAAACTCCTCCGATAGAACAAACTGGATGGCTAAAACATAAAGTTAAATTGCCAGTAACTATTTGGTCAGTAAGAAGCTTGAAAATGCACATACCGAAGAAAAAGTTGGACTTTCCAGATCCGTTGCGTCCAACAATCACATTGTGTTTCGGCGAGAAGCTGTCGATGGTTGTGTTTTCCCGATAACTTCGAAACCCAGTGATGTTTACCTAAAAATGGCAAGAACAAAACATCAGACAATACTTATTCTTTACCTCTTTGATAAACATTCCTTCGATGAAAGACCCTTTTTGATAGTTGTACCAACTGAAAATAAAAAAATCAGTCAAAGGGTAGGAAAAAGATAGTCAGAGATAATACACATATTAAACGCAATTTTATTCTTGAAATCAAAGTGGTGAAACAAAATTTCGCATATTGAGCTCAAAAGTAAGGCGGTTTTTTGATTAGCCGATCAAATTCTTCACCGCAACATCAATAGCTTTGAAAAACCTAGGCACAACGTAAATTGTAAACACGTGTATGCATTCGCCACAACTTTTTTGACTGGAGTAGTTGTGCAACTGAATATCTTTTTCCATGTTCAAAAGAGTTATAACCACGACCGCTTTCCACTGGATTGTACGTCTTCAAATTTCAAATTTCTTTCCCATACTCTCGATTCGTTATCATTGCTTTTCTTCACATTAGCCCTTTTTATGTTTTCATTAGACCTGCTTATCGATATTATTGATACAAACGGCAAGCTTATGTTTGACCGTTCAGCTCTTAGTTTCTAGAACAGCTATCAATCTGCAAATTGTTTCATTAGAAAGCCAAGAATGTCAGCTTTTGATTGCTACCACACACATAGCAAATCCTCATAGGTTAGTGTCTTAAAAAGCTTATCACTACTTATCGATATACTTTCGATAAGTAGTGATAAGCTCATTAAAAGTCGCTATGTATAAAATAGCAATCAAAAGCTGACATTCTTGAATTTCCAATGAAACAATTTTCATGTTCATAGCTGTTCTAGAAACTGAGATCTGAACAGTCAAACATGAGCATGCCGTTTGTATCGATAATATCGATAAGCAACTCTAGTTTTCATCACTATCACTTTTTTTAGTCATCTTTCAACGGGTATTAATGAAAGATGAAAGAACAATATCGGATCCCCGACTCTGCAAGAAAAGCGTAAGTTCATATCTGATGCACACTTATGAAAGCTTTTAGAACAGCCGTCACCTTTTTTCCCGGCAGCTCCGAGTTCATTCGACAGGTTCATTTTTCTACTATTCTGTAGATGCAAAGTTTTTAGGCTGCTCACGTTCCCATCTGCAATGCGAAATTGTATGAAGAACAACCAGGAAGATTGACACCTGCCGCGCTAGGCCCACTTGATGGTCGATTGGTAAACATAATCTTACATGTGCTTTAATTGTTGTTCTTGCAGGGAGTCTCTTCTAAAGGGGGTACTTGTGCAACATGTGGCCTCCCCTTATTGAATTGTATTGGCCATTTTGGATTTTTTGATCTGGAATTACCCGTCTTTCACATTGGTTATTTCAAGCTGGTCATCAATTGCCTTCAATGCATATGCCGGGTAGTTCTTCAAGTAACGCAAAGATGATAGATTGTTTGGTTTAGAATTGCTCTCGGTTACTACTTACGGCAGAAGAAAAGACGAACTTCCTACGACAAGTAATGAATTTCGAGTAGAAAGTTTAATTTTAAACTTTAGATTGCGAATCCCGGTCTAGATTATCTACGAAGAAAAGCGCTGCATAAAAAAATTATCACTTCCTGCAAGAAAAACAAAATGTGTCTTCATTGTGGGCAAATTAATGGTTGGCAAAGTGGATACACTAATACTAAAGTGCCATTTATTTAGGCGTTGTGAAAAAGGCTGTTGGAGTTCCACTGAAAATAGCGGATGCATTGGATCGTGAGGACATCTCTGAATACACGTAATTTTTCTATCGGTAAAAATTCTGTAGTTCTTTTAGGCAAGTGATGAATGCAAACCCAGAGATCAATAAATTACTTCCGAAAGCCAAGTTCTCTCAGCTAACGCCACTGCAAGTTCAAAAAATCTTCAGCCGGATACTCCCAGAAGTATTCTACTCGTTTTAAAAGAAAATAGTCTGGTTTTAGGACATTGCCATAATTATGGTTCGATGTGGCCAAGAGAAGCATCCGCAAGATTTGCTGCTGACGCGAATTCCCGTACCACCAGTTTGCATTCGCCCTTCGGTTGCAAGCGAGGTAAATAAAATTTTTAAAACCGGTTAAGCATTATTTCTACTAGGTCAAAGCTGGTACCACTGAAGATGATTTGACGATGAAGCTGTCAGAAATCTTTTTGATCAACGATGTACTTCGAAAACATAAACGAGATGGAGCACCATCAAAAACAGTTCACGAGACTTGGGAGCATCTACAGGTAGAAGATGCACTAATTTATTATTTGTTATTTGTTATGTTTCACGATTTAGATTCAATGCGCGTTATATATTAACGCGGAAGTATCTGGACTACCACCAGACATGCAAAGCAAAAAAGTATGTCTATTTTTGTATAGTTATCAATATCCAGACGCTTAGACGATTCGTGGATTAACACAACGTCTAAAAGGCAAACAAGGTCGCTTTCGAGGAAATCTATCTGGAAAACGTGTCGATTTTACGAGTCGAACAGTTGGTTTTCGGTGTAGCATCGTAATCATTGATTTAACGAATAGGTTATTTCGCCCGATCCAAATTTGCGCATCGATCAAGTTGGAGTTCCAATTCATGTCGCGAAGATTCTTACATTTCCAGAAGTCGTAAGTTTTTTCTCGAAAAAATCGTATTTAAAAGTGAATTAAAACTTTTTGAGTTTGTCTTTTTTCAGGTTAACGATCTGAATATAGAGAAGATGAGGCAGTTGGTTCGAAATGGTCCCGATGTGCATCCAGGTGCAAACTACATTGATTCTAAAACACAGGGAAAACGATATCTAAGGTCAGTATTTTATTGCATATTAACTCCACTATATGAGCTTGATTTATTGAATTACTACTTTAGAATCGGCAATCGGGATTATATGGCGGAAAAATTACAACGGGGCGACATTGTAGAAAGGCATCTCAATGATAATGATCCGGTGCTCTTTAATCGGCAACCTTCGTTACACAAAATTTCAATTATGAGCCACAGGGCAAAAGTTATGCCAGGGAGAACATTACGGTTAGTAGCCTGATTTTGATACATTGCATTTAACTGCAGATTCAATGAATGCGCATGTGCACCTTACAACGCTGATTTTGATGGAGACGAGATGAACTTGCATTTGCCTCAAACCTATGAGGTAAGAATGAATTGCCGAGAATCAATTGTGAAATCGTTCTCCGACTTCCGACTTGTTTTGATTTGATGCGCTTTGATACACGTAAATAAACTATGTAACTTTTGATAACTTTAGGCTCGAGCCGAGGCATCACTTTTGATGGGGGTTAAAAGCAACTTGATCACTCCAAGATCCGGCGAACCTTTAGTGGCAGCCATACAGGTGTCAAGCAAGCGCATCTTTTTGAATTGTTTTTTAGGATTTCATTACTGGTGGTTATTTGATGACACACAAAGACACTTTCTTCCCCCGCGCTGAAGTTCATCGTTTTGCTGCAGCAATTATTGATGCTTCTGCAAAGAAACAAACTCGGATGTTTATCCCACCACCTGCAATCTTAAGACCAGTAGAGTTGTGGACGGGCAAGCAGGTCATATTGTGTCATAAAAACTTAAACGTCAAAGTTTAGCTCATTGAATTGGTTATTCGGCCTGATGCGGATTCTGAGATAAATTTGAACTTGAAGACGAAGAACAAAAGCTACACGAAAAATGAAGATCTATGCCACAACGTATTGTTTTTTTCCAAGTCCATCTCAATCATTAGTTTAGGATTCATATGTTATCATCAGAAATAGCCAACTGATTTGTGGTGTTCTAGACAAGTCTCTGCTAGGATCGGGTAAGAAATTCCGGCTGTTCCTTGGTGCAACTAAATTTTCAGGCTCCAAAGTAAACATTTTCTACATACTGCTACGAGATTTTGGTGAAGATGCGGCCGTGGATGCAATGTGGCGCTTAGCGCGAATGGCACCCGTGTATTTGACTAACCGGTTCGTAAAACTATAGAATTGTGTTTTGTAACTGAATAAATTTAGGGGCTTTTCTATTGGCATTGGTGATGTGAAGCCGTCAGAAAGATTACTTAGTGAACGAAAAGCTCTCATCAATGAGGGTAAAGATTGAAGTCTAAACTAAATTTAAAAATATTTTGTTCAGGTTATCATAAATGTGACGACTTCATTGCACAACTAGCTTCTGGACGTCTCAAGGTTTTTTATCATCACCATTTGCATTTTTTTGTCTTTAGACGCAACCTGGCTGCAGTGAAAAAGAAACACTCGAGTCTTTGATTCTTCGGGAATTGTCCGTGGTTCGTGATCACGCAGGTCAAGTCTGTGTCAAGAATCTCAGCTCGTAAGCTTTAATTGTTATGTTCTTTGTTAATATTTTTTAGGCACAACGCACCCCTTACAATGGCTATCTGTGGGTCAAAAGGCTCGTTCATTAACATCTCTCAAATGATTGCTTGCGTTGGTCAGCAGGCCATTTCCGGACATCGACCTCCTGATGGATTTGAAGTAAATAAATTTTCGAAGGGACAATTTTTATTTTAATTAAGAACCGATGTCTTCCACATTTTCCCCGATATCAAAATACACCGCAAGCCAAGGGATTTGTTGAAAACAGGCATTATTTTTTCGATCATCATAACTTACCGAACTTTATTTAGTTTTTACTCTGGACTTACACCAACCGAGTTCTTTTTTCACACGATGGGTGGACGAGAGGGACTTGTCGATACAGCGGTGAAAACGGCTGAAACTGGTTACATGCAACGGCGGCTAGTGAAAAGCTTGGAGGATTTGTGTGTAAGCTACGACCAAACAGTTCGCACATCTGCCGGAGAAATCGTTGCATTTGAATTTGGAGATGATAGACTTGATCCTGCTCTTATGGAGGTGAGGTCAAATTATCTTTTGCTCATAATTAAACCCCGTTTACTCTAAAAACGTTTTAGTATTATTACCATTATTACCATTATTATTATTTTAGGCAAAAGATGGCTCAGTAATCGATTTTGAGCACGTTTGGAATCATGTCCGTTGCCTTACCAACTCGAATACATGCGATGAAGAGATCGCCCCAGCGGAAATGAAAGTAATCTTTAGCAACTTTCTAAGTGAAGGATTACCTATTTAGATCTTTATCAAAAATTCCCTCCAAGATCACTTTTCAAATGAGATCAAAGCATATTTGGTAGAAAAACACAGGTATGTCATGCTTTGTTGATTTTTAATTTTTCTCTTTAGAGAAGAAAAGTCACAAATTGACAAAAAAGAACAAACAATGGCGCCAAACTTGTCAGATGACGACGTCTTTGAAGAAGTCTCAAACTGGGGCACACGATCTTCAACTCTGGCTGTAAAAACAATCTGGAATGACTTGTGGCAGTTTTTGGCGAAAGTATGTTCCTAAATTTTCAGCGTCTCAAATATTTGCAACGCGTTTTAGATCATGAATCGAGGTGCAAAAGTCTATGAACTACCTTCGACTTGCAAAAGCCACAAGTAATTTTGTGAAACTTTGCTTAATCAATTATTTATTAGGAATGCAAAAACCGGATCACGTCAGAGCAACTCAACTTCATGTCATAACTGCGTGCGAGCGTTTAACTATCGAAAAAGGTTATTAGCATCGATGTATTTGACCCACGAACAGGTATTTTAAATTAAACGTATAAACAGTAAGTATTTCACTTTTTAGGTGACCGTTTTCGTTGAGAAATGTGCAAATAAATGGAAAAAGGCAATCAGCGAGCCAGGAACAACAGTTGGAGCAATTGCTGCTACTAGCATTGGTAGTTTATATTTTTTTTACTAATGCAACGATATTAAGGAGAGCCTTCGACTCAAATGACACTTAAAACTTTCCATTTTGCTGGAGTTGCCAGTATGAACATTACTCAGGTGTGTTTATTTTTTATTCCATTTCCAATGAATTTCTTAGGGAGTCCCGCGAATTAAAGAAATTATCAACGCTGTGAAGTCTATTTCGACTCCCGTTATAAGTGCTTCTTTACGCGATGAAAGCGATGGAGATCTAGCTCGTAGATGTAAAGCTAGGATTGAAAAAACGACACTTGGTAAAAATATTTTAAATGAAAGTGAATTGTTGCCCGTTTAGGGAGAAATCTGTGAGTACATCGAAGAAGTTATTCAAGCAGATGATGCTTTCATTTTAATTAAATTAAGTGCTCAACGGATTCGTTTGCTTCGTTTAGAGGTAACTTGAGTATTATGGCAGATTAATGCAGACTTTTTTAGGTCACTCCATATAGCATTCAACGAGCTATTGCCGCGACGAAATTTGAAATTCCACTTAAAATTGCTGATGTAAGTATGAAAACCTCGAAATTTGGGAGAAATACTCTTAGATTCATCCTCGTGGAAAAACTATGATCGTGATTAGGCCAGCAGTCTCTCAAAAAATGTCAAGACGAGGGCATTTTCAATATTTGAAAAGAGTTTTATCTCGTGTGATTGTTAAAGGTATGTTATTCAGTTCTTTATGAGAATAAGCGTTATTCTATTCAAACGTTATCTGAGTGTTTTAGGGCTTCGGGACGTTTCGCGGTGTGTCATTCATGTTGATGAATCGAAGGGCAATCGCCATGAGTTGCTAATCGAAGGAACTGATTATTTAGGGGTAAATCTCATAAACTCTTTTACACCTTATCTTTTCATTTAGGTAATGTGCACAAATGGTGTGAATCCAGTGAAAACCAGATTCAATAATGCTCTTGTTGTTGCTCAGGTACTGTTAACATTGTAGTTATCAGTTCCTTCGATTGTTTTACTCATTGTTTTAGGTTCTTGGCATCGAGGCTGCTCGGAAAATCATTATTGAGGAGATTTTGTCGACTATGGAAAGTCACGGCATCAGCTTAGACCGTCGTCACGTAATGTTACTGGCCGATATCATGACATACAGGTTGAATACCAACTAAGCTCTTAATATGCAGGTTTATATTTAGAGGTGAAGTGCTCGGAATTACACGCAACGGTCTTGTAAAGATGAAAGAGTCTGTGTTACTGCTTGCATCATTTGAAAGAACAACCGATCATCTTTTTGAAGCAGCTTTCTTTGGGCAAAAAGACGAGGTCATATAGTTTGATCTATTTTATGATTGCTTAGATTTTTTTTAGATTAAAGGAGTATCCGAATCGATCATACTCGGCACACCGATCAGAATTGGAACAGGAATGCATAAACTTCTTTTCAAACATCCAGCATCTCTTCCTATTCGACCACGGCCAATTCTCCTTGACGCGATCTTCAAAGACTCGAAATAGGCATTGTTTTGTTATCCTTGTTATGGTTACATTTTGTTATTTGTTATCGATCTGTTGTTGTTAGAAATTCGTTTGCATTGTTTGTTGTTATTTTCTAGTCTAATCTTTGTCAAAGCATAAACGTGGAGCTCACAGTTTTATTGAACCGCACTCATGAGTATCTACCAGAAAACCTTTAAAAAAATGGATGTATTGAAGTTATTGCTCTCCCTTCAGCGATTGTTGATTCTTGCTGACAAGATGACGAATGCGAGCACCGAAGTTGCAACAGCCGCAACAAGTGCCGAACGGTGGCTAAAGTTAAAGTTGTATTTGAAAGCTTTGAAAGCACATCTCAACTTGAAAAAAAAGCGTACCTGTTTGGGAGGCGTGTCACCGATGAAGAAATTCTGGATGATAGTGATGCTCAAGAACCACGTGATGAACTAAATGAAAGCATTTGTAAATTGTTAAAAGCCAATCAAAAACTTACCAAATACCAAAGAAAAGCGACGAATGGTGTGAAGAAGTCATACCATGCTAGAGTCTGAAATAAAAATTTAAGTAACAAAAAAGCAAGATTGAAAAGCCAACCTGATTTGTCCAGAGGTTCATCGTGATACCCGACGAAATCGAAGAGGGGCGAAGTAACGAATGAATAAAAAAGAGAGAAATATCGACAAATAAATAAGGCTCTTCGTCTGTTCTTTCTTCGTTATACATGCAAATTTCTGAGAACATATGTAAATTTAGTGGAGTAGAGAAATAGAGTCAACGTCATAAAATGGCACATGTACTCGATTTTTGAGCTGGAGCGGCCACCTGAAATTGTGGTTTTTTTTTTGGAAGAACCACATGTTTTAGTTAAAGTTACCTGAGCGGGCAATGCGGTGCTTCGATCCTTTTCGACAAGTGAAGTTCGGGATTTTGATCTGTAGATGGATTTTATTGAATTTGAAAAATTTGACTTTTTTCTCTTACCTTTCCAGTTTATCGAAAGTTGGCCTTGGCGGAATGGGCTTCGGCGTGGTGGAGCCATTGCTTGTACTTGGCACGACAATGTTGGCCATTGAGTCTTTCTTCGATTCGCTCAAATTGCCTGAAAAGAAACATTGTTTTTTAATCTTTGATAGATTGATTGCCTCTTTTCATTTGATATTTAACTCACTTCCGACACTGCTAATCGAATGTGCTCGCGCACTTCGTCGTCTCTCTTTCGCGAGGTGCGGACCCGCCGGTGTGTTGTGGAGACAGAGAATCGGAAGTTGAGCACATTTCAAGAGATGCGCGATCACTCGATTTGCATCAAATGATCGACTCAGTGATCTGAAATTGAATGCAAATAAAATAAGCTAACGTTCTCTTAGTTTTCCATTTTTTTTCAGTACCCTGAAGTTCCCAGATTTTTATGGGTTCTACTAGCGCTAATTTTGAGAATGATTAACGGTTCAAGAAGCTAAAAAGCTCACAAAAACGTTGTGAAATTTTGAGTCATACTTACTTAAGCCTTTCACTTTCTAAAACCGTAAACTACCGGAAAATACCGTAATCTACCTCTGATTTCTCTACAAGATCTCTACATTTAATTGGCTTTTATGAAGGTTCAGCAGAGTGCCAAAGAATACGTTGGATAAACAAGATTATGGCAATTTACAAAGTTTTAGAAAAGGAATCAACCAAAAGGACTCTAATTTTTGCCTTACTTGATCGGTCTATGTGCGTTGAACGACGATAAAAGCGTCCCTTTATCAACAAACCACGCCTCAATCCATCCGGCTTCATCGGCTAAAATCTCAGCTATCAATTAAATGTCAACTTTTTAAAATTACCCGAAAAGGCAACCGATCCATCAGCTGTAATCGCCACAGCCGTGACTGCACTTCCCGTCAAAACGGTCCTCATCGGGTCACCCGTCTAAAAGCTTTTATTTTAAAAAATTTACTTGAATACTTTACCTGCACCGACCACAAAACCACCTTGTGATCTCGAGCGCCTGTAATAGAATAGATGTTTATCTTCATTTTTTCTAAATCTGTTACCAGATACGACAACGTGTTCATCGTCGGATAAAGCACAGCATGTAACCACATCTTCGTGACCGACCAATACCTGAATGGACTTAGATTTGCGTTTATGATTACAGGTTCTAGTGTTTTCTAAGCTATACTCTTCAGAACAAGTTACCGTACTCCAGCTGTTCTTTCAAAACTTGAGTCAATTCGAGAGTTCAGGTCGATAATAGGGAAAACTATGTAATAAAGAAGTGAAAGAATTGGCAAGAAAAAGTAGATTTTCGGAGAGGAGATTGAACCCCTCGATCTCCTGCTTTCCGGGCAATTGCTCTAACCGCTGAGCTATCCGGTACATTAACTTGTTAAGAAAAAGAGGGAAGTGGAAGAAGAAAGGAAGAAAGAAAGAAGGAAATACCCGGGTTTTCAGAATCGTAAGACTAGTGAGATTACGGTAGTTTTAAAACGGTTATGGTAACAGTGCCTTTTAAGTCTCCAACAAAGATTTTTTTGAAGCGTAGAGATCAGTTTACGCAAACCTGCGTGAGAAACCCGGAGTCGATTTGCCAGATTTTCAACGATTGATCAGTCGATCCGGTGACCACAAGTGATCCCATTGATGTGGCACAGAAGCAAGTGATCTCCTCGTTGTGTTGAACCTGGAAACGGTCATAGATTGGCCATTTTAGAGCCCCAATACCTTATTCTTGATTGCCAACGCGTTGTCCCCAAAAGTCCAAATCTTCATCCTATAGAAATATTCAGTTATCATTATACGATATAAATCATAATAATCACTCTTTTTTCGTGTTCGGCACATGTCCAATCATTATCCTTCCTGAAGGGGGCACGTAGATTGGCGGAAGTACACCATTTGCTGATAGTTCTTCACTTTCACCCTCATCAGCAAACACGTCCCACATCTGGAAAGGGATTTATGGTCAAGTTAAATAGACTACGTATTCTAAAAAGTGCTAGAAGAAAGTTACTGTAACCTGGTGACTTTTAAAATCCCCAAATCCAAACCCTAGTTAAATCTAGTTTTACTTGTTTGAGTGTTGTGAAAATGCAAACCTTAAGCAATCCCGACTTATCACACGTGACCGCTCGTCCATTCTCCAAACAACAAATCGAGATCACTTCTGTTTGATGATACTAAACTCTTCTATTTAATCCAATCCGTTTGCTGAGCTTTTACTTACATTGCAATTTCTCAACACATTCCCATGAGCCGAGTCAAGCACCAAAATGTGGCCATCCTAAAGGAAATCTTTAGAGATTAAAATAGAGTTTGTTCTTCTTCGTTTTTCAAAACGTATCCTTTTCTGTAAAGATTACAAAACTGTAATCTTGCCCTAGTTTTTGAAATTTGATCTTACGTGGCGAAGAACAATAAAACTATCAGGATAAAGTTTGAATAAAATTTAAGGATTATGAAAGGATTTTGAAAACGCAGAAATTCGAGCTGAACCTACCTTATTAGCTGACAGTAGACATGAAGAATCGATAGTGAAAGCAATGGCCGAAATTGAGACATTCTTGTTTTGAACAACCTGTAAAGCTTTCTATTTCAAGAGATCGCCAAAAAACGAACAGTTGTAATGCACTGGCAAATATCCAAATCCCATAGAGCCACGATTCCATTATGCGTTCCACATGCGGCGATCTGAAATCTTTCGGTTGCAAAAGTAAAATTACAGATCTCCCTCAAATAGCCCCTCAAATTGTGACCTTTTCATCATTACTCATCGCAATCGCTGTCACAAAACCCTCTTCATCTGCTTGTAGAGCATCGACACTATCATGGATTCTTTCTCGAACATTCCACACCGAAATAGCACACCCGCAACCGGAGATCAGGAAATAGTTGTCCGATGTGATCTGAAATGCCATCGGTTGATACAAATGAATGATTTTGATAATTAAATGAATATTTACTTCTTAAAGAGTTCATTTCTCACCACAACTCTCAAGATCTTCATTCAAAAAGTTTTTTTTTTGCAAGTAATCCAATACAGATCGTAATCGTAAATGATTATTCTACAGATCAATTTACAAAATGCAAATTAGGCAGTTTATCTATTTCTGTGAAAGAAAATGATAGAGAATGAAAGAGAAACTGAATTTCACGAGTTCAATTATCATAGAATCATAGAATTCTAGTATAGTATCATAGCTCATGGTATCATAGAATTCCTAGACAACTTTTTGACTTAAAAATTAAAGGTTTTGTTCTATTTTGAAATTATCTACAGGGTTGGGCAAAATTATCCGGACAACTTTTTGGAAAAGTAGTTGTCTCATGCTTCATTGATTTCAAAATGTCAAGTTTTATATAGAAAATTGTAGCCCTTAATCTTGGCTACATTTATCTACTAAAAACTTCCCAATCGGATTTATACAACTCATTTAAAAAGTCCATGAATGAGCGCTAGTCGATCCCTATCCGGCGAGCTACCATTTTTGACGATTTTCTACAGAAATAATCCGATTGGATAGTTTTTAGTAGATAAATGTAGCCAAGATTAAGGGCTACAATTTTCTATATAAAACTTGACACTTTGAAATGATTTAAGTGTGCGACAACTAGTTTTCCAAAAAGTTGTCCGGATAATTTTGCCCAACCCTGTGGATTACTGTAAAAGTTTATAAAAAGATTTGAGAAACTAACAGTCAACTTACTTTGAGTGAAGTGACCGGCGACTTCTCCTCACAATCCATTATTTCCACAATCTGAACTCATTCTTTATAAAACTCTTTCCATTTCTCTCCACCTGTCCCGTGTGCAAATCATAGCAATAGATCTTTGATTTTGTGGCTGCATACAGTTGACAATCGTCATTGGCACAGGCTAGAGCGTTTACCTAAATGATTGATTGATGAATAGAGATGATCTCGCTCACCTTGCTTTCATGTCCGCTCAGCTCGTGCAATTCTTGACAGTTCACTGTACCGAATATCCTCAACGTCTCATCCTCACAAGCCACTGCCACAAAAGCGTCATTGCTG